GAACAATACCCTCGGGGGTTTATATTCCGCCAACATTACCTCTTCTCAAGTAATGTTAATTGAATATTATCTGAATGAACTATGTGTAAAAATTGATACATTCGTATCAATTTATGTAACGGGCTCGCCCCGTTACAACCAATGTCCATCGTTGACAAAATGTCTCTTGACCCCTTGAGTGAGCATCCACATAGCACTTATTTGATAGTCGACGGTAAAACCGGCCAATGTTCAATTGCAAAGCGAAAAGAATAAAAGCCCTAGAATAGGCCTCACAACGTGCTTCATCACATTACCCCGCAACAGCTGCATCATACTTCACCGAGTCTAGGATACCGTGGCGATAAATGTCGTGGTCATATAGCTGCTGGCGGTGCTTGACAAGCAAAAAATGCACTCGGTTTATACAGTGCACAGGCTTCATAAATCTTTATCGGATTATAAAGGTGGCTAACCCAATATCATTTGTATAAGCACTTGCTTTGAATACTGAAATGTCGTGATGATAGCGTCAAAGCGTCACTGTGTGCATAAATAATCGAATCGGATATCACAACAAAGAAGTGTTACGATAAGGCGAGGATCAACATGCCAATAGTTTGAGCAGTAAAGACAGACAACCTGGATGTATAATGGGTCACTAACAGCATCTGTTCAGTCAAATCATACGCTAAGACGCATGTTAAATTCAGGTGTTCTTTGTCTTCGTGTTGGCAGCGCTTCATTCGTTCGGTTTGCGAACCGGCAGGACGATGGAGCGCGGATTGTCGTGAAGTCTTACCTGTCTTTTAGCATCAGCTCCATGATATGACTCTTGCATGTTTGATGATCTTGTCGTATTATCCGACGAAAAAAATGCCAGATTAAAGCGCTTAAAATTTCCTGCCATAAAAGTGCAACTTTGTGTTTCAAGGCCGCGATCATTAATTGGCAATACATTTGGGTAGGCGAAGCTTGATAATGTAGGCTCAATCGCCACCAAGACTCTATAGAACTAAAGCATTGCTAGAAACGAGGATATACGATCAAATCAAGCAGATGAAGCTGCTTGTAACCGCTAAATCCGGCCTTCTTTGAGCGTCATTACTGTTGTAATAACTAATAGCAGTTACAGGAAGAGTGTGGATGAAAGACCGACTTCACAAACCTATGCGCCGTCTACTATCTTCTGGCGCGAGATCATGGTCACTCAGAGGTTAAACCTTGGTATCACGCACAGTACTGGTGACACATCAGTGATATAGCTTTGATTGCAACACTTTACCGCCAAAAACAAGCTCGAGAAAATATTCTCGATCGGTTGGGCGTGCAATGTTCCCATATATGTTTCCTGGCTGTACAAACTCTGACGCACCTGCATAAAATATCAGTGTTGTTTGTTGCATATTTACAATGTAAACACGCCTCGTACGTGGTACACCAGACGCATTCGCGTTCAGTCCATTTCTGACTTTTTGGACCACTTTGATTGCCGTGCGAATGCAAATGTGTCGAAACAGTACAACGCTCATCACTATGTCTTCGGTCCACCCTTACCTAACGCTCTATACAAATGACACCATCACCTATTGCATCCTTACGAAACAGGACACGAATCATGAAGCATAAAATGCAGTCGGGTCAGTCTAAAGCTAGAAGCAATTTTGCCAACTTTTTTGCGACTGCTTTATAATAAAACCTGAAATGTTCTAGCAACAATAAGACAGTCATATTATGCCATTCCATTTACTCGTCACCAGTTCGGTCACCCAAAAACTTGTGGTATATCATGAAGCGCGATAGCTACTTTCGTGAGCGCGCTTGGTCTATTAGTGCGTCTAAACAAGTCCAAGGGAAATACAGGTGCACGTATTACCAATACTACATCACTAGTAGCAATGACAGAGTCTCATCTACGAAGCAAATATAATTCTCTCATTGCGCTCATAGCAACGATGTGCTCATTATAATTGTCGTGGTATCTTGAATGCACATTCCTTCGTCCATAAAGACGGCATCTCGAATTCGTGCCGCCTCAAACAACGTACAACTGTTACACCCCACCTTAGCAATTCGATTGTTGATAAAAAGACACAAGTATCATAATCCACCACATACATTTCATCGTCATGCGTGTCATGTCGGGCATGCTTTGGTTGCCGGTGCATCGGACGCGATAGTGACATTAGTAATACTCACTGTATCAATGTAGGTAATGATTAAATGAATGTGCAATGCTTATCAAAATGTGGTCGCATCTGCACCAAAGAAGTATGGATTTATTGTTCCTTTGCTTAACGTAGGATTGTCGCAGAGGCACGTCATATCTCCATTTACGGTTTGCTAGTGTTTTGTACCGTCGTATCGTGCAATTGTCAACGTACTTCCATCACTGTTAATGTCTTACAAAAGTCATTGAGCTCCGTATTTGCAGCCTCATTTTTATCGTTCTAGCACAAACAGGAAAAGCTGCATACCTACCCGAGCTCATAGTTGTTTCAAACAAATCGTATCGGACAGATTCGAAGAAGGGGAAGACGACAAAGCATGGACAACAAAAATCGGATGTTAGAAATCTGCATCCAATCTCGATAAATGCCCGTTTGCGTATCCAGAACAAAAGCTGATGCAAAGTGGTGAGTGCATAATCCATGGCTTCATCTCGAGCGCGAGTCGACCGCGAATATAACGTCCGTACACTACGCTACATATTGACGATGAGCACTTTTCATATGTCACGACGGTCTAATATTTCTTCGAGATTTCTGCTTGGAAGACGTGCCCAGCATATCTACGTCTTATGTTTGGTATCGGTAAAGGACGCGAAAAGAAGTTGCCGTAGATTATCCGTGCTTTACCTGGTTCCGTCTCACCTGTGATAGAGAACACTGGAATAAGGGACGCTACAGAAAGACGCTGGTAGAGCACACATGCAGCGTTCTCGATTGTACAAATGCTGCACACATCCATCTCGCGGCGAGTGCAACACAGAACACACGCCAAACTACGACCACGCCACAAGCAACTCATCAGTATGGCTACGTCGTACGAAGGTGCTGTCTATCGGTGCGTCCTCTCGAAAAACAATTACTTGTATATACCACACAACATGGAGTTGTAAAGTGTGATTGCTTGCGTCATAGTTATTTTCTACTAGTTGCCCGCACCACTTGTTCCGAGCAGCACGCCGCCCCAGTGTAGTTTCCACTCGGTCCCTTACCCAAAGCAGTAGTAGTTTCTACACGCGTAAAATCGCGGAGCCATGTGACACATAGTGCGATCAACGGACTGATCTACACGTAATTCAACATGTAGCACCTCATCTTTGCCGCGGATCGGGTCACAAATGTACCACTGCGCCCTGCAGACGCTGTTGCTGTTTCGTCCACAACTCTTGTGATGCAACAACTAGTGGTCTGCACCTCAGTGTTGCATAAGCCGAATGCTGAGTATATATATGACGAGGCATAGGTCACGCCATTCAGCTATACCACGTCATCCAGCTCTTGTTACGGACCTGATGTGGAAAGTACCTGCAGCGAGAATGTAACAAACTGCACTAGCGCGTCATTTGGCAATACCTAGAATAGGACCACATGCACGCTCTATCCGATGCATCGTGACCACAAAGTCAATTTTCTAGCCAGTGACGAGTTTTGATGCGTGCATACGATCCATCCTGCAGCCATCGTCCCCTCGTTGCGCGGTATGGCCCTACTAGGATAACAACGAGGTTCTTGTCGGCTCGAAGTGGCAGTTTGCATCGGTGTCAGTTCTCGTGTATGTATTGTTCGGTCGTGCGAATATTGCAAAACCCGAGATACTGGTGAAAGCTGCGGGTACTCTCTGCTTCCATTCTCGCATGCGATGCTGTTCTGGCCACATTGCTGCAAGTAAGATGTCAACGTTCTTGCCATGGCGTATGGATGGTGGGCTTTCACGGTCGTAAGTGTTGTTCGATACGCAAGTTGAGCATGAAATGCGATGGTCTGGCAGGCCAATCTCGTATGACTACTTTGCTGCACTTGAACACGTTGAAGATGTTGCCGGCTGTGACCAAGACTGTTCAGAGGAGCTTCCGGTCGGCGTCATTTCTCGCATAGTGGATCGCGGGATAGGTGCTGCCAACAACGAAAGCCCCATCCGTTCAATCTACCATTCTTCATGACAAAATCAACGATCTGACCTACACGTGAGCGACATGTGACGGACACGTACCGCCAAGTCTGCTTCATGAGCCATCTTTGTCAACATTTCGTCTTCACATTCTATTGCTCAAGTCACTCTTTCCTGCTTTCGATCATGCTCGGAAATTGTTGGATTTGCCATCGCATCCTACAAGATACGTCGGACCGTCGAACAGCAAGACGCTATGTATGTAGACGAACAGCATTCCGTCCCGTCGGATCAACAACGACCATATCTATTGTCGATATCAATCGAGAAAGACCAGCACCACGGTTCATGCTGAGTGCTTTCCAACTGGTCTTGTCTGATAAGTGGCCGCCCGCAGCAGTAGCGTACAGTGGCCCCAAACTCACACTCCTCACCTAACCACTCGCTGATTGCGGTGACTAAATCAGCAAGTGGTAATGTTGAGGGTGACGTTTTTGGAGCAGCTCTACGCTACCGCTGCGGGCAACCAATCCACATTGCGGCAGCACCACTCGTGCAACATGCAGCGAGTCGGACCCAGCATTGGCCTGTCAGCCACGAGTTTGCATCACTATGCAGCGCGACCGCTTGAGTCGCAAAGTTCAACGACACCAATCCGTTTAACGACGAGCGTCTTGACGTATGCTATCAGTGCTGACGATGGTCTACTTGTCAACGGCGACCACAAAAGACTTTGTTTGCTGTTCCAATGATCGATCCGAACAGTCAAAAGTCTCATCATAGCACGTGACGCCACGTCGAGCAGCTGCTCTGCCGGAACTCGGTCCGTGGTTCAACTTGATGTGGACCACACACTATCGCCCGCTTGAAGTCGCGAACGGCAGTCGTCAATCTGCCCGCTCCCAATGATCCGCCAGCTCCGTCAGTCTCTGCGCACGGCCCGTCGCGCTCGTCCAGCGGTCCCCTGCGGCGTTGTGCGGTCAATGGTTTGTTCGTTTATGTGCCTTCATCGCGATGTCGTTGGGGTTATCGAATGACGAGTGGGGGGGGGGCGAGAAGAGGGATTGTAATCGTGGTTTGCCGTTTTCTAGTCAGGCTCCAGACCCACAGAGCTGGACTTGTTCACGCCCAGTGAAGAACACGGAGCTCTGCGGGAGATGCTGGCGGGTTTCGTCACGACCAAAGTGGACCCTCAGGCACTGGAGCACGACCGTGAGGAGAAGTTCAATGTCAAGTTGTTTCGGGAGCTGGGGCATCTTGGACTCCTGGGCATTACGGCCCCTGAAAAGTGAGAGCAGACACGCTGTCGTTGATGAACTTTAGCTGGCTGTACCAGGAGCGCATGATGACTGTGTCGTTGTAATGATATTTGTGTCGTTGTGTGTATGATCGGATAGATATGGAGGATCGGGGATGGACGCACTTGCAGCTGTGATTGCGCACGAAGAGCTCTCGTCGAGTGACCCGGCCTTCTGTCTGTCGTTCTTGGCGCACTCGATGCTGTTTGTGAACAACGTGGCACAGAACGCATCGGATCAGCAGTGCAAGAAGTACCTCCCTGACGCCTGTTCCGGCACGAAGATCTGTGGCATGGCCATGAGTGAGCCCTCTGTTGGAACGGACGTGCTGGGTATGCGCACAACGGCAAAGATGTCGGCGTGTGGGAAGTTCTACATCTTGAACGGCACCAAGTACGTGCTACTACCGTATTTATTGCTGTCTATCGCCATGGCGGTCGTACGCTCACGTCTCATGTGGACGGATAATGATACTGTTTGGTGCCGTCATACGTAGAATGTGGATCACAAACGGGGCGCTTAATGACACGGAATTAGGCGACACGTTTTTGGTGTACGCGCGCACCGGCCAGTCGAACAAGGCAAAGCAGGACTTTTCGTCGTTTATCGTCGAGAAGGGCTTTGAAGGGTTTTCGCTTGGCCAGCGCATCAAAGACAAGTGCGGCATGCGCGCGTCGAATACGGCCGAGCTGGTGTTTGAGAATTGCAAGGTGCCGGTCGAGAACTTGATTGGCACGGAAGGCGGCGCTGTCCTATGCATGATGCGCAACCTCGAGATCGAGCGCGTGGCGTTGGCTGCCATGAGTTTGGGCATTGCTAGACGCTCGCTCGAGGTCATGAACAGCTATGCAAAGGAGCGAGAAGCCTTCGGCCGACCCCTGAACAGCTTTGGCCAAGTTCAACAGAACATTGCCACGTCGTATGCAGAGTACATGGCAGGGCGCGCGTACGTTTACAACACAGCAAGGTGAGTGATCTGAAATTGGTACATTGTTCTGGACGGCAGCAGAGGTTGTGGTGTGGCTACGAGCACTGAGAATCCTCTGACGTGTGGCCTTTGCAAATGAATGACCACAGACACCTGAAGCTGGACTCGGTGGGCAACCGAGTGGACACAGACGGCGTCAAGCTCTACTGCGGCGACATGGCAAAGCGTGTTGCAGATCGTGCCATTCAGACACTCGGCGGCTACGGCTACGTTGGCGAGTACAATGTAGAGCGTCTGTGGCGCGATTCCAAGCTGTTGGAGATCGGTGGAGGGACCAATGAGTCGCATCACAAGAACATGGTACAAGATCTTCTCCGAAGCGCATTCTGAGCGCTGCTGTCTATCGCCAGTGTTCGCGCATGTAACTCGGCCGATCTGCTCTCGAGTTGGATATAGAGAGCAAGTGAGTATTCGGACGTAAGTCGCAGAAAGTGCCGACTGGAGATCGGACGTGTTGACACGATCTGATCAAAATATCCGACTTTTTGACCGTGTCAAATGTGCAGTTTGCGCCACCCGATTGTTGTGTGGTGCACCCACTTATTGGAGAGTCTGTGGCCGCTGTTGTACGTCATTGCTTCTGTATGCTCGACTTTTGGCACACTCAATGGCTACAAACAGCAAAACGCCTTCTATTGCAACGCGTTGTGACAGCCCACGCTCGGCCATAACCCTTGACGTGGCAACTTATGACTGGCGGGTTCAGACGTGCAGGTTCTGGCGGCACCCTGTTCTGGCAACTCGTCCCACCCGCAGTTCGTCCGACTTTTTGGCCTATCAAATGGACTACGGCCTGTCCTGTGTGAAGAACCGCTCCCGCTGTTCACCTCACAGCAGCGGCCGTCGCGACATCGCGACGTGTGCTCATGGGAGCGCATTTCCAGCTGGGGGCAGGACGCGACATGGGTGGCGGTCATATCAGGCGGGTTCAGTCGAGCGGAAAATGGGTCGACCCGTTGCCCACTGTGTGGAAATGATTGCACTTTCTGGATAGAATGTCTGTGATGCACATCCGTCTTTTCCAGCCAACCCGCTGCTGCGAAGCAGATTCAGGTGCTACTACGGAACGAATGGCTTTGTGGCATTGTGCGCTGGCAATCGACCAGTGAGTGGCGCGACGAACCGCAATAGGCGACTGACGAGCGGTTTTGCGCGCGAGAGCGAGTGGTAATGTGGTATATTGTGGCGCAGTGCCAGGAGCTCCAGGCCACTGGATAGTGTCCAGGCGTGACACAATATGGCGCATATTTGCAGTAAAAGCCACGACGCGGTGGAATCTTTGAGCGGTGTCTCGAGGCATCTCGAGAGCGACGGACGCGGGGGTGGTGATCGACTTTGACAGGAATGGGCGCCAATCCCTGCTCAATATGATACCACGGTCGTCGAGGTTTTTGGCGCGCATACTCGACGCCAGTACCGACCGCAGTCGTCGAGGTTTTTTGAAACCTCGTGTTCTCTCTTCATTTTCGCAGAAACGAAATTCTGTCATTTTCGAAAGCAAGCAAGCGGTGGCAGGCAGCCCCCCAAATAGACGCCCGCCCTCTGTTCGAGTGCGACCATCACTCCCGCCCACCGCGGAGGCCGACCACTTGAGCGTTGGCGTAGGGCGCGTTCACTTCTCAAAAGAGAGCGCAGGCCACAGCCGCCGGAACAGTTTCGGGCCCCGTCGCTTGCACTGCGCACCCGCAGCCAGTAGCCACCATAGGCGACTTCACGCTGGCAGATCTTCGACACGAGGTACGGCAGCCCGTGCAGCCCGCCACCGACGGCGTGAAAAAAGACGCAGTGTTTCCCCCAGCGCGAGTCGAAGTCGTGAGTCCGAGCGACAGCGCCAGTCCGTGGACCTCGGGGACGCCCCGAGGGCACCTCGAGTGCGACGCGCAGAGCGCCCTGGCCGGCATCCAAGTGTGCGTGATGATGGTCGAGCAGCAGGCGCAGAAGGCCGTGCTAGCGACCGCGACCAAGCAGGAGCCCTCGAGCAGCGCGATTGAGTCTCCTGCTCTTGCGAGCGCTGCAGCAAAGGGCACTTGCAGCACAGCGACAGCAGCAGCAGCAGCGACAGTCAAGACGGAGCCTGTGGTTGACGTGAACATGACGGAGGTCGTGAAGACGGAGCCTGCGAAGACGGAGCCGGTCAAGACGGAGCCTCTGGTCGACGTGAACAAGACGGCAAAGCTCGTGCCGGAGCTTCCGTGCGAGGTGCTGCAGTTTGCGCCACTACTGGTTGGCAAGTACTACATTCGGGACAAGCACGCGGTCTGGTCGGGGATGTGGGGCATGAACGAAGCAGCGTTTGGACCGAACGGTGTCACGAGCACGTTTGAGATGAAGTCGCAGGACGATGTAGCGATTCCCACTTGCACTGGCACTGCCGATGTTGTGCACCCAGCGATGGTGAACTCGGCTCTTGCGCGGTCGTCTCAGACGTTTAATGCTGCTGTGCATGAAGTGTCGCCGGTGTATTGGGGCTACGAAACGAATGCAAAGGTGCGGTCGGCAATGCCTTTTGACGGCAAGTACAGCGGCTCGTTCCAGATCCGAGCAATGAAGGGCAAGCCGCAGACAGTGACCGAACATGATGTGGAGATTCGCTTTGTGCACGACGTAGGGAGCCCGTCGCAGTTTATCGTGTTTGGCTCGGGAGAGAACCGTTTTGGTCAGTTTACTCTGCACGGGTTCTTGGCGAAGGAAACGAATGAGCTTCGGCTGTACAAAGTCTACAAGCCGAAGGGTCCTGTGAAGCGAGCACTCCCGCGTCGTGCAAGATCAGCGCGAGCGGCGACTCCGGCCAAGCGCGAAGCAAAAGCGTTGTCGATCTCGGCGCCAGGCGTTGCTGCCATTGTGGCGTCTGTGGACGTCGCCAGCAGCGCGACTCCTTTGGCTGCTCCGACGATAATTGCTCCACGCAAGCTCAGCACCCCGAGGTTAGAATATGCGTCCCCGTCGTTAATACTAGGCCGCTCGGAGCGAAAGCGATCGATTCCTGCGCATCTTCGAGAAGACAACGTTCTTGAGTTTGATCATGCTCCGGTGAGCATGAAGAAGTGCTTCAGTGTTCTGAAGGGTTTGATGTCGAATCCCAAGTCGGCGCCGTTTATGGTTCCCGTAGATCCAGCTGCTTTGGGCATCCCTGATTATTTTCACGTAATTAAAAACCCGATGGATCTTGGAACCATTCGGAACAACTTGGAGACTGGGTTTTACGATAGCCCGACTGAATTTGCAGACCACGTGAGACTGGTATTCCAGAATGCGATGCTATATAATGCGGCACACAGCCAAGTACACATATATGCGAACAAGCTAATGGATGACTTTGAACGGCGATTTAAGGGTCTCAATGCGAAAGTGTCGAGTAAGAGTAAGTTTCCGGACGTGAAGTTGAAAAAAGACCGGAAGGTAGATGCAGGTTTCTCGTCGAAAAAGATACGAGGAGGCAAAGGCACAAAGGGGAACACCAAACGGCGTGGTCATGATACCGGGTTGATCATGTCTTTGAAGGAAGACATTGAACGCCTGAAAGCGACGCTGGAGCAGCTGCAACCAGGAATGGCGAAGGCGGGTTCGTGCAGGCTTCCGAAGACCGCCACAAGGTTTGTTTGCTGCGCTGTCACATGTGGCGTTGTATGCGCGCGCTAACAATTTACTTGCTGCGGTTTCCTGTTTACCAGACCGTTTAAGATGGAGGACCTGACAGAGGACGAGTTGAACGAGCCGATGAGTCATTTGGACAAGGCCCGATTGAGTTCCGACATCAAGTTGCTTCCGCAGGACAAGATCAATCGTGTCTTGCAGATCATTGCTGAAGCTGTTCCGGTAGCAAAGCTGGCTAACGAGAATGACGAAGTGGAGTTGGACATCAACGCGTTTGACACCCGGTGCTTGCGAATGCTGGAGGGATATGTTAGGGTAAGCAGGTTGCGTCGCTGCAACCACCTTACCGCTCCAGTGCTAAGGTTTTCCTATTCCTTTTCTTGCAGGAAAACGGGATTGGTCGCAAGCGGAAGCGTCCTGCAAAGAAGGCCAAGCTAGCGCCGGCTGAGAAGCGACTGAAGTCTGCCGAGGTGGCAGCTTTGAACATCCAGCAGCGCAAAGAGGAACTTCGGAATCAATTGGCTGCGATCGACGGCAGTGGTACAGGTGCGGGCCGTCCGACACCTGGAGATAGTGGCGACCGACGCCCAGATCAAGACGTCGTGATGGACGTACATGCGGGCACGGATGGTGCTAAAAAGGGCGGCAACAGCTCCTCGAGCAGTTCGTCCAGCTCTTCGGAGTCATCGGACTCGGACAGTGATAGCGATAGTGAATCGGACTCGGACGACGGCGGCGCTCCTCTTGAAAGGGTGGGTTTGTGAGATGTAATGAAGCGAGTGAGTCATAAGTACTGGCGGGCGACGATGTCGAAACGGCTAACGCTCTTTCATGCCATGCTGCAGTCTCCACCACTCGCAAGTGCCCCGAGTTTGTCGCAGCTCGATCCTTCCGCTTCGGTCCATGCAGGTTAGTCTTCGCTTGCGAGTATTGCTTATCGAGTGTTGTGCCCAACGCAAACGCTATCCTGTCATGTCGTGAACAGTGGACGCTGCAAAGAAGATTCGGGATGAGCAGCTTGCGAGCTCAGAGCCCCTCCGTGTCGAAAACCGTGGGGCTTGGAGTATGCTGGCTAAGAAAGAGACTCCAAACGGTACGCCGCTGTCTCACGCAAATGGCGGCAGCCAGTCGAGTTCTTTGTGGCTGTCAGCGCGCTCGATGGAGCAAATCAAGCAGCAGAAGATCCTGCAAAAAGAGAAGGAGCGCACAGATGAGTTGGAAGCTTTGAAACGTCGTGAGAGTGAACAGCGCGAGAAGGAGAAGGAGCGCGAACAGGCTGAGCGGCGAAAACACGAGAAAGAGCAGTTGGTAAAGCTGGCTGAGGAAAAACGCCTTCGAGAGGAGCGTGTGCGCGATGCGGAGCGTGTGCGTGATGCCGAGCGCGTGCGTCTGGCCCAGCTTGCAGTGGAACGTGAGAAGCTGGTGCGAGACGACGAAGTCGAGCTGCACGACGTGACGCTGAGCGAGGACTTAGACGCATTTAGCTCATCCTCATTTTTGTAGTGTCAATGAGGATAGCGAATGCATCCCCGGCGGACACGCAACGTTTAGTAAAGCTGCCGTCGAGTGCGTTGATATATTTAAGCCGGTGGGTAACTCGATTTGGAGCGTATTTGAGAGAGTAAACTATCTAATCAAGACAATTGATAGGACTGCTTGGACGCTTGTAGCGATCGTTCTTCCGCTCGCTCGCCCTTTGGTGGTGGTCACGGAAGCAGTCGCAATGGTAAGGCATCCGACGCGATTGACTGATCGAACACAAGGCGTCCGGAAAAAGAAGAGAACAATCGTAGTGTCTGGCATTGCACCGTGCGTCGCATCTCGGCAGAATCGATCAGACTGGCGGCACGACGACAAACATACGGACCTATCGCTGCAACAGCAGCAGGAAACTGAGAGACGGATCAGAAACAATGAGGTGTCGACAGGAGGCGCAACTGCACTTGGGCACGCAACCGCATTACTGAAAGTATTGTGTATGTACTGTGCTGATCTGCTGCGAGTGGAGGACGCTTTGGCCCTCGGGGTCGTGGAATCAATGCACTAGCGGAGAAGGATGTGCTGACTCGTACAGCAACACCCTTTTGTACATTCTGCCTATGTGAGCTTGTGCTTTCGCATGCACTGCTGCATGACGGGCGTAGCGTCAAGACGTCGATCGTGCTTCGTGCACTGTGCTTGCTATGTACACGGACCTTTCGCGAGCTGTTGAGCGTCAAATGCGAGCGCCTCATGACCTCGATACAAAGTTGCATCAATGGCAGGACATCCTGCGGCACAGCCACTACAAGCGGAGTCAAGACGGATGCGCCAGCCGCGAGCAAACCGAACGAGAGGGTGAAGTCGGGTACTGTTGTCGAAGATGTGCTCTTTGCAATGCCAAATCCCAAACGAACATACGAGCTGAAGAGCAGCAACGCGGGATTGGTACGCTTCACAGCACAAAGACAGCATGACGCACTTGCAAATCGACTTCGTGAATGAACTTTTCTTCGCGTGATACACGCGTCGTACTTGCTCTGAACGACCGCGCACCATTGTCAATACACGGGTCCACCTACGTCCTGCTCATACTCATCGGTTCCTTACAGGTGCCCTACGTTGCTAATTACGTGCATGACGCCCTACATAGCGTCTTTCAAGAGCAAGGTAGCGATCGAGGAGAAGACGCTGTTTGCGAAAAAGCTCGCCTTGTACCAGCAGCTCCTTGGAGTTCTGTTTGCAGGAAGCAAAGTGCGTCGAATCGACTTTACAAATTCGGATATGTGCGTCAAGACGACTATGGAGTTCGTTTGATGAGCTCGAGGCTTACGTCGTATACCAATTCGACAAGCCTCGTAAACGAACTGCTAGCTGTGGTGGGTATCACATGAACAGGAAGATCGATGCGACATCGACATATGTCGAGGCAGTAGAGCGACCATTGGCTACATGCGAAGTCGCTGGGTCAAATGGCCCGGCGTGCAGAACACAGTACGCAAAAGAGGAACGACCGATTAGCGAGCTAATGGTCGGGAAAGGATGCGCAGCGAAGCTGTTGTCTGAATGCGTTATCATCGTAAATATCGTGGGATCCTACAAACTGGATCACATCTTTCGATCGTGATGTGCTTTGTGACGCGTTCGACCGGCTCAATGATTATCCTAACGAGTTCGCATGGCATTCAATGAGTTTGCGTACAACGCAGCGAATGAAGAAGGTCTGTGTGTAGTTCAAACGAAGGCAAAAAGTGATGCTCACACTTATTCATGACATAGGCTAACCCGTACGAGAGCGACCTCACATGTTAACGTCATAGACACTGGTCGAGGTGACTTTGACCGACGTATGATCGAGGTCGGTCCGGGATATTGCACGATAAGGAATCGGGCCGGCGTGATTAGTAGATCACCTAGCTGCTCAGCACATCACGCTGGACTAAAAAGCGATTCACCACATAACCCCAAATGAACAGAACGCAGCGGTACAGCAAATCGCACGTGTTTAGGCAAGCGTCGTAGAATAAATGTCACGACAGAAAACACGAACAACGCAGAATTGCACAATTCTTACCGATGCATAGTGACAAACGTGGCCTCTGTTCATAACTTGTGTCGAATAAAGCAAGCTACCTGCTCGTCGATCGCAGCACCGAAGCCAAAGCCGAAATTCTCGGAAGCGCCACTACTAGGCATACCGATACGACATACAGCACATTCGTACTGACAGCATGCAAAGATGCAACGATTGCTACGACGATTTCGTACAGACCGCGACGTCTCGTATCGGACTGACATTGTTCAACCCGCTAGTTTGCGACGGATCGGCAACAGTCCCGCCGGTCATTGAATGGAAAATAAATACCAGAAGGCAGAGATAAAGAGACAAAGTATCAAATTGAAAACGTATTAGACGTTCTGCGCTCAAACTAGCTAGCGCACGGATACTCAAACATGTATAGACTTGAACGCAATATACCAGTCATATCCATAAACCAAAGGGTGATCCTACGAATGCCACCGCCAGCAAGCCGCTTCTGCAATACTTTTTCACGACGAGTCCCGTGATGTTCTAGTGCATGTACAAAGTATCAATAAAAATTGGCCGGTGCAACACTTTCTGTCTCGAAAGTCACGGTGTCTTCTCTGTGCGGAAAAGCTGACTTTGGTAAGATGGGAGGGATGTTCAAATGACCACGCAGTTTTGGAATTGGAATTGCCAATGCGAACACACTCCTTTCTGGTCGACGCCCCAGCTGCCAAGTTTGGTAGTCGTGGTGAGGCAGATATGATGTTGCACTGTATTTTTCAGGACATTGTAAAGTCAGTGCTAACACAGGAGAGAGGACGACCTCACTTCTTGATTGATTAAGCGATTGGCGAGGCTCCCGGCAGGGGGCCGACCCGCGTCTGGTATGCTTTTAACACAGAAGTCTTTTGTATCCATTTTTAACACGCAGGGGACACTTGCTGTAAGCCGACGGGATTACAAGGGCGCCTATAGCCCAAATGTTTATCGCTATTAATAGCGTCGCCCGTGCATGCTTATAGCATCTTTTCCAACACTTGTAGTGCGACTAACCTTTTTACAAGATAACGGGTTGGCCCTTGTATGTAAAAATGCATCGGTGTGCGCCTTATAAGTGCACGTACACCGTACAGAAGAAGTGGAGAATCTCAGTAACTCTTGCGTAGAAGCGAAAGTGAAGTATGTATGACATCGTTGAGCCTAGTGAATAAATTCTCTTTTTACTTGCTTGCACCCCATTAAGCACTAAACTTCTAATGCATTTTTCTTACTCACCACCAATAAGGCGCGTCCATGGTTCAATCGTACAATATCACGGCCTACAAGTACCCATTACGAAGCAGTACCGAAAAATATCTTAAAAGGTAGTATTCCAACACGATGGGCTCGCAAGAGTGGTAATGCACATACAATCAATTAAGATAAGAATACACTCGCACGTTTCGTGCTAATGACATGTAACAGGCTTACCCCGTAACAACTTGTTGGTATACCCGCGCCTTGCACAAGCGATACCTCATATATGAGGTTAACTTGGTAAATGTCACGTGTGTGGCCCTTCAACTTGGTAAAAGTTACTTGAGTGGCTTTCCATTTGAGCTGAACCCACTATGCCGGACTAGCGTAAGCCTACTTGTAAGATATGGGTAGCTCAAGAAGAGCATGAAAGGAAAACAGCGCCCTTAGTAGATACGTGTGATGATAGCTTACCATCACGACGAAACGCATTTAACTCATAGCGTCTCATAGCTCACCGGCATCAATGACAACATGTCCTCACAAATTGTTCGTATTTATACGCCTACTGATTAAGAAGTAGTGGCTACAAAGTCTTTCGACTGAAGTCATGCGAGAGCAAAGTAGATACACCCGTGGCTAACGAGTCACCTACTGATTTACATAATCAGCAATTCCTTAGTACGCATCCAGGATCTGATAATTCCAACTTAATAGCAGACTAACACACCAATCAATGGCTGTGACAGCCGACGTGTCATACCACCACAAATACTGATTACGCTCTTTTGCACGCAAATGCGTGTATGAGCAACTGAGTCGTATTCGAGGCGTATTGATCGAAATGACTGGCACACTGACGCGCCTATATAGTAAATGTAGTGATGCGCAAAACATGGTTAAGTACTGCGTGCGATGCAAAGACGAGTAACACGTGACACAGACACTGTCTTCTCGACTGCTTCGTGTATCTGTGTCTGGCTTCGTCCGTAGCAAATGAACGAGATACATTACATCACACCTGCAAAAAGAACGACGACCCGAATACGGTGATGGACCAGCAACGACGCCCATGTGCCAATTATAAAGCGTAGCACCTCGTCATCGTGCTTCGTGCCATAGCTCTACGTCCCACTGGTAATTCTACAAAACAGCACTATTCTCCTCGCTGACCGGAAGAACCTTGTACGGATTGAGAATCCCCTTTGGATCCATCATGTTCTTCATCCGCCTCATCAGTCGAATGGAGTCGTCGGACTTGGACAGGTGAAGGTACGATGGCTTGTGCGTGCCAATGCCGTGTTCCGAACTGATGCTTCCACGGTACTTGGACGTCCACTCAAACACGAATGGCTCCAGCGCATGAAACACCTTCTCGTCGTAAGCGGGTGTCGAGATATTCAGGTGCAGGTTGCAGTCACCCATGTGACCGAATCCGACCACTTCAGCACCAAGAGGTGCCATCATGCCACGAACTTCCTGCACAATCTGATAGTACTGGTCCATTGGCAGCGAAATGTCGTACTTATACACATAGCCGCGAGAGGTGAGAGCCATCGTAATATCTTCGCGCAGCATAAACAGCTTTTGCGCCTGTGCCTCATCCTGCGCAACCGTACCATTGACGACAACACCAGACCCCATCACGTCTTCGAGGTAGGCCTCCAGCTTCTCCATATCGTGATCCGTGTTGCTGCCCGACGTCTCAATCAGAACGTAAAACGGACTCGGCGTATCGAGCGGATCCTTCGTCCAGTCCTGCTGCGACAAGACCATGTCCAGCGACTGACGGTCCATGAGCTCGACCGCGGATAGAACTTCGCCCAACTTTTTCTTTGCCTCGACAAACGCTTTCTGGCAGGCCTCGAAATCGTTGCACGCTAGCAGCGCAACATTCTTGCACGACGAACGGGGAGGCGTCAAGATCGATACCTTGGTCACTACGCCCAGCGTGCCTTCCGATCCAATAAACAGCTGCTTCAAGTCGTAGCCCGTATTGTCTTTCCGCATGGTGCTCAGCCCGTCAAAGACGGTACCATCGGCCAGCACTGCTTCAATGCCAAGCACCGTGCCGTGCAGTGATCCGTACCGCAACAGCCGCAGTCCGCCGGCATTGGTTGCAACGTTGCCACCAATTTGACACGTTCCTTTGGCGCCCAGATCCAGCGGCATCATGTAGCCGTGCGTGGCCACGTAATTGTCCAAGTTCTCCAAGATACAGCCCGCTTCACACGTCAAGATGCCCGACACGCTGTCGAACGCAATCACATTGTTCATCGAGGCCATCGAGAGCACAATTTCGTCGTACACGGGCACGCTGCCGCCCACGAGACCCGTGTTGCCTCCCTGCGGCACCACGGGCAAGTTCCGGTCATTGCAGTACTTGAGGATCGCTGCAACGTGCGCCGTGGTCTTGGGCTTCAGCACCATCTGATGGCTACTTTGCGCGCGGTACTTCTTGAGCCAGTCCACTGTAAACGCGGCCGTGTCGTCCGCCGCCGTGAGCACGTTCTCGGGGCAAAGGAGCTGCTGGAAGTACGTCTTGTCTGCATCGACCCAGGACGCGTGTGCTGCGTTGCGTGCGGGCACAGAGAGCACGCGGGCGGCTGCGCGCGTGAGGGCGCGCGCCGGTCGGAAGAGCGTCGGCCGCATCGCAATGCCCGACGAAAAGCGAGTCGCTGCGCGCTGAAGTAACGCGGGCGACGGCGGCGAGGAAACGGTTGGACGAATGTAACGGGGGCAGCGAGCGGTGCAATCATTGCCGCACAGTCGTGACGGCCAACCGATTGTCTCGAAGACCCCCAACCCACATCCGTCGTCTGATTCTTCCAGGAGCTCATTGTTGCGGTCGACTCAGACGACAAGTAGTACCCATTCACTCGTCCAGTCACAAGTCACAAGTTCGACCGACATGTGGACGTGCACCGCGTGTCGCCTGACGTTTCCGTCCTACGCCGAGCAGCGGGACCACTTCCGTCTCGACTGGCACCGCTACAACCTCAAGCGCAAGGTGGTGGACCTGCCGCCAGTGTCGGAAGAGCAGTTTGCGCTCCGCATGCGCAAAGTGCTCGAGGAGAACGCGGCCCAGCGGGTGCATGATCCCAAAGCGAAGCAACGGGCGCGGAAGGAGCAGCTGCAGAAGACCGGCGTCAAGGTCGGGCTCAAGTGCGTGGCGTGCAACAAGACGTTCACGAACGCGAACGCGCACGGGAACCACTTGGTGTCGAAGAAGCACGTGGCGAATGCCAAGCACCGGCCCGAGATCGCGTCGAGGGTCGAGACGGTCGAGAAGCACGTGGACGTGGTGACACTCGAGGAGAGCGGCAGTGGTGTTCATTCAACGACGCACATGACGGAAGAGGAGCTGGTGCACGAGATGGAAGAGTACAAGAAGCACGTGCCGCTGGAGAACGAGGACTGCATCTTCTGTCTGCATCACGCAGCCAGTTTCGACGCAAACGTCGAGCACATGCTGCATGCGCACGGCTTCTTCATCCCCGACGTCGAGTTCCTCGTGGACGCACAAGGGCTGGTCAGCTACTTGGCCGAGAAAGTCAAGGTCGGCTTCTACTGCCTCTACTGCAACGGCAAGGGCAAGGCCTTCCGCTCGCACCAGGATGTGCAGAAGCACATGACGTCGCTCTCGCACTGCAAACTGCGCTACGAGGACGAGGATTTGGACGAGCTGCTCGAGTTTTACAACTTTGAGGCTCAGTACGCGTCGTCGACGAAGAACGCGGCGACTGCTGACGGGGAGGTCGAGTGGGAGACGGACAGCGAGGCTGGCAGCATCGACAGTGAGGAAGAAGTCGTGGAGGAGGACCAGCACCTTGGCGGGGACAACGACAATGGCGAAGACGACGACAAGTTTGCCATGGGCGTGTCTGAGACTGGAGAGCTCGTGTTAGCAAGCGGTCGCCGCCTCGGCCGCCGCGAGTTTCGCCGCTACTACAAGCAGCGCTTTCGTCCCGACGAAACACGTGCGTCGGTGCTGGCTGCGACCAAAGAGAACTTGCTGCTGGCGTACGAGACGGCCGGCATTGATCCTCGCAGCGGCAGCACTGCGCTCTCGTCGGCGTTCGTGGCCAACTTTCTCAAAAAGCGCAACAACATCGCCGGCGGCATGTCGATCGTTGAGGCCAAACGAAAGATTTTCTGGCACGAGAAGAACCGGTCGCGTCTCGACAACCGCAGCCACAAGTTGCAGAGGAACCCGAACCGTCGGGTCATGGTGACAGTCTAGCGGAAAGACCTGTCTGCACGTGATACAGTCCGAGACCGCCTGCCCGCGAGACACCACCTGCCTCGTCAAGTTGGCGATCCTGCCCGACGACGACCTGCCCTTCGCGTAGACAGCGATCTACCTGAGACTTGGCCGTCAGCAAGAGGGAGACTCTCGTCCATCTGTCTGTCCGTCTGTGGACCGCATCCATCCGGTCACGTCGGTCACGGCTCGTCCTCCGTGGTCCACAGCAGCAGCAGCAGCAGACAGGACCTGCTCCATCAATACACACACACACACACACACACATGACATTCCCCACTCGTCGGTCCCACTCGGCCCGAGTCCAACGCCCTCGTCAGCCAGCAAAGCCTTTTCCCACGCTTGGATCCAGCATCAAGTGCACTGTACTTGTTCGTCTTCTCCTTCATCGCCGTCTTCTTCGTCTTCTTCCTCGTTTGTTCCGCTCCGTCGTCAGACGCGACAGACGGGAGACGCCGCGCGTCCGCCCGGCCCCTCCATCGCTCTCCTCCCCCCCCTCGCTGCCACCGCCTGGTCAAGACGTAACGGGAGAGCGTTTCTGCCGCTGGCGTCAGTAGCGGCAGCACCGGTCGCTCGGCCAACCGCAGCGCACTACAAAGTGGGGAGTGTCCGTCCGTCCGTGCGTCCGTCTGTCTGTCCACGTGAGTGCGCGTTCTGTTTTTGTCCAGTGTTGCCCCTCGTTTCTGCCCACCGAACCCTTTTCCTCGTCCGTGGCGTACTTGCGGTGCAGCACCGGGCCATCCATACTCTGCCCGAGATCTTGCGGTCGCGCGACCTGTTTCTACGCGCCCCGTCGTCGATCGTGCCAATGTCGCTGCAAGGCCGCGTTGCAGCAGACCCGAGCGAGCGCGCAATCGGTCGGGAGCTGCTGCCCGTAACTGGGCGACTGACTGACGGACCGACTGACTTACCGACCGACTGACTGACTGACTGACTGACTGAGCCATTGAGTGAGTGAGTGAGCAGTGCCTCCTCTTCTTCTCACCTCAGTCAGACAGAACTGGTTGGGTGGGTGAGCCATCTCGCATTTCTTTGCAGCCGCGAAAGAAGCGACACCACCCGCTGCCGGCAGCGACCGACTGCGTGCGTCGCCTCTACTGCCCGCCGCCCCCACTTGACGCGCCACAGAGAGACGTACAGAGACATACAGAGACGTACAGAGACGTACAGAGAGAGAGAGCGCGCGCGCGACACCTGTGAGGCCCCGAGCGACCAGTAGGAGGCGGTGGGTGCAGCAGCGACCGCAATGAACCGCGTCAACACGTTCTTCTGGTCGCGGCTGAACCCGACGGGCGAACTCGTGCGGTCCGTGGACGTGTTGCTGCGCGAGCTCGTGCCGGACGACAAACTCGACGCGGCGTTCGAGAGCCTCAGCATCGCTGCGAGCTCCGGCGCGGCGCTCGTTGAGCTGAAAGCGCCCGCGGCGGCGGCCAAGACGGACGTTCCGCCGACGGCGACGGACGCGGGCGGCGAACCCGACTACGACGGCGCGCCGCCCGTCGACGACGAGTCGAGCGACGACGAGTCGACGAGCGAGAAGACCGTACCGGGCGAGCTCGAGCGCAAGTGGGCCAAAATCCGCGCCGTGTTCCACGACTGGGACGAGGAACAGGGCGACCGCGAGAAGAAGATGGACGACATGGCCGAGCTGCTGCTGCGCTACCGCGTGCTGGAGAAAGTGCTGATGCCGAAAGTGCTGGGGCAGCTCACGTTCGAGACGCGCAAGTACGTGGGCCACGTGTTTCGGGCCATGACGGTGCACAACCTGCGCGGCTTTATTGAGCTCATTGGCGAGCGGCCCGACATCATGCGGTGGCTCGTCGAGGGCTACAAGAACAACGACACGGCACTGATCTGCGGCTCGATGCTGCGCGACTGCTTTGAGCACCAGGCGCTCACGATGCTCTTCTTGCGGACCCTCGAGCCCGAGTTTGACTTTCTCTTTACAGTCACGATGGAGAACAGCAACTTTGACATCTCGGCCGACGCGCTGATCAATATCTCGCGGCTCTTGACCGTGCACAAGAAGGTGACGGTCCAGCTCTTGGACGAGTCGTTCGACCACATCTTTGGTCTGCTGAACGGCCTGCTGACGTCGGAGAACTATGCCACGAGACGTCAGGCGCTGCAGCTACTGTCCGAGTTGCTGCTCGATCCGGTGAACTTTGCAGTGATGCAGCGGTACGTTGCGTCGCGGCAGTACTTGAAGCAGGTGATGCTGCTGCTGCGGGAACCGAGCGAGGCGTTGCGGATGGACGCTTTCCACGTGTTCAAGATCTTTGTGGCGAACCCGAACAAGTCGCCCGAGGTGGAGCAGCTCCTCGTGCGGAACCGCGAGAAGCTGCTCGCGTTCGTCAGCGACTTTGGCAAGAGCGCGTCGAACCGCGACTTTTTGCAGGAGAGGTCGTTGCTGGTGTTTGCGCTCGAGCGAATGGCGCAGCAGCAGCACAGTGCGGCGCCGGAGAAGGGGCAGGAGCGGCTTACGCGCGCAGCGTCGTTGTCGAGTGCCGATGCCAAAGTGGGTGCGAATCACCGAAAGTAGGCGAGTCGAGCCGGACGAGAGCAGCTCGCCGGGAGGTCAGGAGAGATACCAGTATTTAAGAGCACCGTAGAGGGAGTTTGCCAGGCGTGTGCACCGAGCACGATTCAGGCTGCGAGAAGAGAAGAGATGAAGACAAGAGAAGAGATGAAGACAAGAGAAGGGATGAAGACAAGAGAAGAGATGAAGAAGAAGAAGAAGAAGAAGAAGAAGAGATGAAGAAGAAGAGAGAAAGAGGGAAGAGAGAAAGAGAGGAGGAAGAAGTGGAAGTATATAGATAGCGATCATGTGCGTGTGTGTGTGTGTGTGCGTGTTGTTTCACGACGGACAGGAGGAACCCATCCGTGCAATGGCTGCGAGACGCAGTCGTACATATGGCTACACTTGAGACTGGTCCAACACACCCCCTTCTTGGCGCGCGACATGTGCCCATCACGGCCGCTCCTGTCTCGAGCTCGTGCTTCTGTTTTTCCCACACGGTGGCGCTCGTCGTGCCGTCGAGAAGCACGAGGGACGAGGACAGGCACGACGTTCGGTGGTCGAGCGACGGACGGACGGACGGACTAACTGACTGAGCAATCGCTCGAGGGCCCCGCAGTGCACTTCCCACCGCCAATAGCAGCAGCAGCAGAGCGGTCTCTACGTCGACAACACCCAAAGGCCCTCTCGCACCTGCGCGTCCGCCGCCATGATCGACGAAGACTCCATGTCGGTCGTCATCACGGCGTGCAAAGAAGTCGAGAGCGACTCGACGCTCGAGCGCGACGACCGCGACGCCAAAGGCCATGGCAAGGGCCACACGTACACCATGTACACGGTCTTTGTGCGCAACGTGACGACCGGCGGCAAGTGCGTTGTCCGACGGCGGTACTCGGACTTCTACAAGCTGCGCAAGGAGCTCACGGAGCTCGTGTCGTGGGGCCACTGCAGCGCCTGCGACCACTACCAGCAGCAGATTGCCGCGTACCCGTTTCCCCGTCGACGTCTCTTGCGCTCGAGTCGCGCGGCCGTCGTGAAGGAGCGCATGGACAGTCTCGGCCTGTTCCTGCGGCACTTGCTGCTGTGCATTATGGCGCGCAGCTTCGAGAGCTGTTCGCAGGCGTCCGAGAACATTGAGCGCTGCATCTTGACGTCGTTCTTGCAGATGGACTCGAGCGAGAGTCTGTTTGCGACGACGGCGTCCAAGCAGCGGCCTATTGAGATGTTGCAGGCGATGGAGGAGAAGCGGCAGCAGCAGATCAAGGCCGCAGGACTCCGCACAAAGACGTTGGCGTACCCGACGCCGTCGGACCGAACGGAGCGCTCGACGCTGGCTCGGAACCAGCACCAGGTCGGGACCGACACGTGCCACCTCTGTCTGCAAAAGTGGACGCACTGCTATTGCAACAGCGACCAGGACAGCGTGTACGCGGTGCAGAGTGGTCCGGCAGTGCACGACGCCGAGGGCATTGCCGAGTCGGCACTGGACGACCCGAGCGCCTCTGCGGGGGACAGTGACGACGCCAGTCGATGCAGTCGGTGCGAGAACGACTGGAACCACTGCTTCTGTTCGCAGCAGCTGTCCCCCACGGCGTCGTCAGTGTGTACGGACACGGAGCTATAGACGACATGATGATGATAAAGTAGCACTACGAAGACATAACTATACATACAGCGCAACTACACACAACTTCCTGCAGTGTGCATGCGTTGGTCCGTCCGCAGTGTTTCCACGAAGAAACCCGTTTTGACATGACTATGACGTATGAAGTCAGATATGTTGGTAATACTACAATTACCGACGAGTAGTAGTAGTAGTAGTAGTAGTAGTAGTAGTAGTAATACAAGCACTTGGAGTAGGAGTCGTATCGATGTATTAGCAGGAGTAGTGACCTCGTCATACTGACTACTATTATTTAGTAGCATTCGTTTTTACATTATTCTTGCTCGCCCATTATTGCTATTGTCGCTTTTGGCTCCACTCGTCCACTTGTTTGGCAATAATTGTGCCGCCTCGATCGAGCTTTGCGTGCCTCGACAATGACTGGGCGCAAGAGCGCCGTCCCGTGGCGCACGTGGACCGAGTGGCAGGACGTGCGCGAAGGGCTCTTCAGCCGCGACCTCTACGCGCAGCAGCGCAGCATCGCCCGCGTCGCGGCCTGGCGGAGCCGCATGCAGCTCCCCGTGGCCGTCAACGCCACGGCGCAGCTGGCGGAGCTCCAGCTCCACGAGGCTATGGCCCAGCACCATCACCACGCCGTCGGCGTCAGCTCGCGGTCGCACATGGAGCTGTCGCTTCTGTACGCGAACGTCGTTGTGCGCTGCGTGAACGGCCTCGTCGACGGGTCGCAGAGAGGCGCGTACGCGATGGCCGTGAGCACATTGGCTCAGCGCATTGGCATTCCGCTGTGGGTCGTGGATTTGCGACACGAGTCGACGCACAATCAGCTGCCGTCGCTATCGGTGCTCCGGTTCGCTGCTCGTCATTTGCTGGCGTGGCTGCGGGTCAATTACTGGGGAGCTCAGGAAGAGCTGATCCGCGAACAGGTGCAGCACGTGGCCCAGTGGCTATTGGCGCAGTTGCCGCACTTGCATCGAGAGCCACGAAGTGATGAGGAGCAGGTAGAGTTGAGGCTGGAGGAGGAGGCTGTTGAGGGGCAAACGATGCCAAAGTTGAGGCTGGATGTGGAGAATCTGCGGAACATTGTGGGGCCTTTGCTGGTGAACGGCGAGCACTTTCGAGAGCGTGTCGCACCGTGCGGACTGTTTTTCCTGACCGCGTCTGTGGCGGTAGAGGGACAAGAAGTGAGGGACGCTGTGGACGTGTTCCAGGAAGAATTGGATGCAGCAGTTGCGTTGTTGCTGCGGCTTCAGCCATTGTGGAGGAGCTTCAGTGCGTTGTTGCTAGCAACCCTCTGTCACAAAGTATTTGACGACCTTTGTTCACCGACGTCTCGTTGTTCGAGTGAAGACGACAGTGGACAAAGCATACACGGCAAACAGGACGAGCACACTTTTGGGACGAACGAGATGGAGATGACATTGCAGTGGATCAAGTTCATGGCAAGCAGCGAGTATCGTGAGAAAGTCAAGCTTCAGATCGGCCCTGTTGAGGACTTGTGCCACTGCGGCGCTGAGATGCTAGTCCTTGCTGAGAGACTGAAGTCTGACGGTGTTGCAAGTGGTCGAACGGAGCTATTGGAGCGTTTGCTAGCCGCGCTAAGATTCAGCAGGGCGGTCCGAAACCATCCATTGCTTGCAACTGAAGCGGCGATTGCCACTAGCTTAGCCTCCCAGTCTGCATCAGGTTGGACCCAGCTTCCTGCGTGGGCGGAGAGCCCCATTGGTCTTCGCTATCGCTTCACACCTTCCCACGCCTTGAACCAGCACCAAGTGCGTGAGTACGCGTTTGACGATGATAGTCTCACGTCAGACACGACGACATTTGTCGCTCCTGATGATGACGTGGAAGCGCAAGATGCAAACACAAGCGATGTTGACGCTGTCATGGAAGACTTGGACGCAGCCTATATGGCCACACTCCAACGGATCGTTACTCTGCAAGCCACGATTGCCCGAGATGGCCTTCGGCAAGGCGGCAGCACGACGGTGTTGCCAAAACTAGAGCTTCAGCGCATTCAAGAGGAGATTGAGATTTGGTGAGCTGGTCTCGTTGTGGAGGAAGACTACACACCAGGCAATGCGGCTCACAGAGCTGTGGTGCGCACACTCGCTGTTTGCAAAGGTTCCCACTGTTCGGGTCGAGCAATACAAGGACCGGTACACACAACGCCGTCTGACGCACGTTTCGTCTTTCATTGTTGGGACCCAAGACTGGAGCAAGCTCACTTCTACCACAAGTCTACAGAATGAACTTCGACAGGTCCGTCGTCTTCATGAGCTTGCCTACGCGCTCGAGCACAAATTCCTTCGTGATGGTGACAGTGGATCCAGGGGTCATCTCGGAACTGTCGAAGCTAATGTCCTCCACCACCTTCTCAACCACCGTGTGCAGGCGTCGGGCACCGATGTTTTCCACGGTCTGGTTGACCTCCGCAGCTACACGGGCAATCTCACGGATAGCATCGGTGGTGAAGTCCAGCGTGACGCCTTCTGTCTTGATGAGCTCAATCTGCTGCTTGATGAGGTTCGTCACGGGCTCTGTCAGGATCCGGTGCAAGTCTTCTTCTGTCAGCCCCTTGAGCTCAACACGAATCGGCAAGCGACCTTGCAGCTCAGCGAGCAGGTCCGACGGTTTTGACGAGTGGAACGCACCCGAACCAACAAACAGTATGTGGTCCGTGTTGACATTGCCGTGCTTTGTCGAAATGACGCTGCCTTCAATCAGCGGCAACAAGTCACGCTGCACGCCCTCGCTGCTCGGGTCCGAAGAGCGGCGGAAGTCTCCGCTCGAGCAGATCTTGTCGATCTCATCGATAAACACAATCCCATTCTCTTCCGTCTCCTGTATCGCTTCACGCACAACGTCCGTCATGTCAATAGCATTGTCCATCTCCATGTCTTCAAACACACCACGCGACTCGGCGATCGTCATGCGTTTGCGTTCCTTCTTCTTCTCGCCAAACGCCCGACCAAACACTTCCATGGAAATGCCCTTCCCTTCGCCACCGACAAACGAGATCGGCTGGTTGCCAGCGTTCTTGGCAGCCGGCACGTCAAACTCAATGATCCGATCTTCCAGTTCACCCGCCGTCAGCAGCCGCTCAAACGTCGCGCGCGAGCGCTCCAGCGCGTTCGTGCCCGTGAGCACATCAAGGATCCGGGTTTCCACCAGATGCTGCACTTGCTTGCGCAGTCGCTCTTTGCGCGCCTTCTTGACCATATTGATCGCGTTTTCCACCAGGTCCCGAATGATCTGGTCCACGTCGCGGCCGTGGAAGCCCACTTCCGTGAACTTGGTCGCCTCCACCTTGACGAACGGGGCCTCGGACAGCTTCGCCAGTCGGCGCGCAATCTCCGTCTTGCCGCACCCCGTGGGGCCAATCATCAGAATGTTCTTGGGACTCACTTCCTGGCGCAGCTCGTCCGAGATCTTCTGCCGTCGCCAGCGGTTGCGCAGCGCAATAGCCACCGCGCGCTTGGCGTCTGCTTGGCCCACAATGTACTTGTTCAGCTGCTCGACCACTTCACGGGGCTTCAACTTGCGCCCCACTTCGCCGCTCTCGTCGTCGTCGTCGTCATCGGCGGCGTTCGCGTCGTTCACCACTTGCACTGCGATCGACGCGTCGTCTTCCGACGCCTTTGGGATCGCAGTCGAGAGCGACCGGAGCGGCGACAGGTGCGGACGGCAGTCGAGCGACAGCGCTGCACGCGAGTGGCCCGCGGGCGAGCGACGGGCGGTCTGAGCGCGGCGCGCGAAGCTCTGGAGCACGTGGACGCGACGCATGTCCGACTACTGATCGCTCGCTCACTGACGGGGAAGAAGAACGAGGGGCCACGTCAAAACAACGGAGAGAGAGCGATCAAGATGGCTACATTCCCTCGTCTGCTCGGGAGGTGGGTGGGTGGGTGTTTTCGTCCAATCGGCGTCGAGGCGCGTGGAGTCGATGTGGTCCACGTCAAAACAACGGAGAGAGAGCGATCAAGATGGCTACATTCCCTCGTCTGCTCGGGAGGTGGGTGGGTGGGTGTTTTCGTCCAATCGGCGTCGAGGCGCGTGAAGTCGATGTGGTCCACGTCAAAACAACGGAGAGAGAGCGATCAAGATGGCTACATTCCCTCGTCTGCTCGGGAGGTGGGTGGGTGGGTGTTTTCGGCTAATCGGCGTCGAGGCGCGTGAAGTCGACGTGGTCCACGTCAAAACAACGGAGAGAGAGCGATCAAGATGGCTACATTCCCTCGTCTGCTCGGGAGGTGGGTGGGTGGGTGTTTTCGTCCAATCGGCGTCGAGGTGCGTGAAGTCGATGTGGTCCACGTCCATCGCGGCGTCTCGGCGTAACGGATCGACCATCACTCTGCTCGCCAGAGTGTAACCCACCAGCAGCTGCGCACTCGAGGATGGCCCCCAAGAAGAACAAGCAGCGCGAGCAGCAGGAACAGCGGCGCGCGTCGTCCAGCGCCCGCGCGCACCAGTCGCTACTGAACAGCGCGACGGCCAGCGGCGGCGGTGGAGCGCCAGGCTTTGTCGGGTTCGCGAGCTTTGCGCCGCAGCCGCTCGCCCAGTCGCCCGTGCAGAGCATTTACGACGGCTCGGACCAGGAGATTGCGCTGGCGCTCAAGATGCTGGCGAAGAAGGGCGCGGTGACCAAGATCAAGGCGCTGCAGACATTCCTGCAGACGGTGCTGCCGCCCCGCGCGCCGGCGGCGCTGCGCCCGATGCTCGGCCACTTTGCGCAGCTGTACGCGTTCGAGATGCGGGACCAGAACGATTACAAGGTCCGCCAGCTGCTGAACGAAGTGCTGGCGGCGCTGGCCGTCAAGATGCGGCCGCGGGCGTTCGCGCCGCACTTGCAGCGGCTGTTGCCGTACTGGTACGTGGCCATGCACGACGTGCACGCCGACGTGGCGATGCTGGCGAAACGAGCGTTCAGTGCGTTGTTTCCAGCGAGAGAGGAGCAACAGAAGGTGCTGGAGACGCACGTGGTGGCTGTGATGGAGGAGTTTCGAGGCTTTTTTGGCAAAACCGCCGACACGTTCGAGGGCGCTCAGCTGCAAGCAGACGAGAAGGAAGAGCGGTATGAACGCTGCGTTTCTGCTGCCGTGCTGAGCATTGATGATGTGGTACAGTTGTGTGCAGAGCAGAAACGGACGGACGTATTGAGCGACGAGCAGTTGAGCTGCTCCGTGGCAACAGTCGTGTCGTCCGACCACTTCATGGCTCTAGCAAGTGCGTCGTCAAAGCACGCGAACTTTTCTCGTGACGTTGTGAGAAGAGCAGTGTACGTCGTGCTGGCGACGCTGTGTGTACATGCAAAGACCGTTGTTGCTGCACGAGAAGAAGCGTTTGGTAAGGTGATTCTCGACTCGCTTCAGGATAAATGTCCTACGAACCACGGCGCAATGTGGAATGTTGTGATCGCTTTTTTGCAAACATTTCCCGACATCTGGAGCTCAAGCGCTGGCTTTTGTAAATTCACAGTGAACGTGGTATACCCGCGGCTGTTTGCACAAATCCGGCATGGTTTTTATGGGTCGGGTCGGTCATCGTTCCCAATGCTATTGCCGCTCTTGTCGACGGTACCCCTGAGTGTTGTAGTGAATCCGTCCACCGGACAATCTGCATTATATACAGGTGTACTGGAGCAATGTTGGAAGTTTCTGGACTCGAAAAGTGCGCGATTTTGCGAGCCCCCTGCAATCGCAGCATCTTTTGAATGCCTCACCGGTTTTTTCAGCATCTTTTTGAATGGCAATGCGGCAGTTGTGCACTTGAGTGATCAGGATGCTGAATCGTATAGGAGCAATTATGTGAACCAATTTGAGAACGTGTTTGTCCAATCGCTCAAGAAGACGCTCAGCTCGCCAGAGTTTCCAGAAGCAGAAGTGGCAGTATTTAGTAGCTGTATGCTCAAGATGAGCAGTCGATTGCGCAGTTTTTCAAGTGACTCGGACTTGGTGAACACGCTAAAGGACAACTTCACGGCGGAAGTCCATGAGTGGACAAGACAAGCTGTTGGCGCGATGATATCTGAGATGTCATTCATTCCTTCCAGAGTCACTACGTTTATCGACACTGTTTTTTCAGTTGCTACAGACACATGTGAAGAGCTTGAGAGTGCACAGTGGTTATTGACAAGTAAGGAGTTATATGGACAGTGTGTCAGTCAGATGGATGCACTCATGGTGGACCCGGCGTATTCGCCGGACAAGGATGCATCGATCGCACGCTTATTGGCGGCGCTCAACGGCGTTTGCAAAACTCATTCTGTAGACCTGCTGTTAGGTGAAACCGATGTGACAGTCGACAGCCATTTCGATGTCCACTATCGTCCCGTTCTCCGTGCACTTGCTGAGTGGAAGAAATTGGATAACAATGCGGGTGTCGTAAACACAATGCGTACTGCACTGGATCTCACGCGACCATTTTTTCTTGCTGCAGAGGGAAAGAAGCAATTTTTGCTGCAGCTTTTTCAGGACTGCAGCGTCCAGTTCGGAGACTTGGAAGAAGCGAACGACATCATTCAGTACGGGCTGCAATTTCCGGTTTCTGAACGCGGGACCAAGCTGTGGCTATCATGTGGGAGCTGGCAACACGGTGATGAAAGTGGCGCATTGGTTATTGATCAGTCCAGTTGGACACTGAAGGCACTTCAAGCAATTTGGCAAGGCAAGTTGCTGGATGAGTTTCTGATGATCAGCTTAAAGGGGCGGCTTGATGACTTGAACAGCGATGTGTTCGATACTCTCTTGAAATCGTGCCTTGGCGGCTCGTGCAACTGCCCTGTCGTGAGTCCGGACGCGGTAGTGATTCTGTGTCATTTCGTGCTGCGCAACGGGGTCGATGGGAGCGACGCGGTGGTTGTGCAAATACTGACGCATCTTTGTGAGCTGTTCCTGAAGCTGAATGACGAGCTTCCTGCAGAACTCGAAGTAGTCGAGGGCCAACTATACACGCTTCTATTTCATCTGTCGGCCAGGGGAAGCTATCGATCGGAAGCGAGTGCGTTATGGGCACAAACAGTGCGTCATTCGCTAAAAAAGTGGAAGGCGAGATCGCGAGTAGAGACGTTTGTGAACGGGCTAGCTCGACAAGTCAACGATTTTCTCCTTGCTGATTTGCCAGCGGGCACTACTGCCTTCAACAGTAAGCAGTTTGCAGCGTACGTCAAGAGCTACGTGCTGCTTGCAACAGACCAGACGTTCTTTACTGTGCCGCAGTTGGTAGAAAAACTGGACGCTGTGAATTTGAGGTGTTTGGATGATTCTCGACGGACTGTTTTCCACAGCCGAGTGTTATCGGCACTGGGGGACGTGTGCGATGCTGAACAAGTGATTGATGCCTTACAGGCTTACCTTAGCGCTATGGCATCCGATGATGAAGGTTCGGCAGTTGCACTTGTTGCTAAGCTGGTAGATATGGATGTCAGCCACGCGTTGACGTGGACAGTGTTTCAGTCCAACGACTATATGCAGAGAGGTGTTGATCTGGTGGAGGCAATGGAGAGTCATTTGACGCTAGATCATTTGTATGAAGCACTAAGATCGTCATCCGGAGTGATAGACAAAGTGCTTGCGAATGCTGCGACGTACCAAAGCAAGCACAAGCGTGAACTTGCAGAATATCGCAACGTGGTCTTTTTGGACAACAAGCAGGACGATGTTGCTAACGGCCAGGACCAGAGTTTGCTTTCGTCAGAACAGCACATGAAGCTGGATGTCATGTCCATTGAAGTGCTATCGACCTTCAGCTCGATTGCGGCACGAGCGTCATTTGTCAAAGAGTTGGTGAATCGGGATGACGACTGGACGGTGGAAGCTGCCCAAACTATTGTCATTTCGCTGCTAGCTGCGATAAACACAGACAATGAAGATAGTGGCGAGGCCATCGCAGCACTCAAGGAGTATTTTGCGTTGTGCGATCGTGATGCTGTCGCAAAGCCCACGTCTGTGCTCTTCGAGTATTTGCGATTGATGTCGCGGGCAATCAAACGGGCAGAAAAAGAAATGGTTGCGTCCAACCTCGTCATCAAGGAAATCATCCATCTGTCGAGTCAAGAGTCGATTATGCATCGACTAGTGGAGATGCTGCTACCGAGCTCGCAAACTGTTGTGGAAACTCATCAGTGGATTGCTATGACTGAGTACGTGGGTTTGCTTTCGGTGTACTTGCAAGATGCAACGTCAGCGTTTGGCGAGACGTGGGAAAACCTGGCACGATTGATTGTGACGCACGTGATTGCGGGCAAGTCAGATGGTGCTAAAATTGTGGCACTAAAAATTCAGAAACGAAGCTCAGTCCTGGGCACCCGTAGGATCGTCAAGGGCGATCAAGAGCAAATTGTACTTGCCTACCCGACTGAGCTGGTTATTGCACGATCGGCGTTTATGGAACTTGTCAATGCGATGTGCAGCGCAAACCCTGACGCGCTTCAGGAGCTTGCTGCGCACTATCGAGACGCTGTGTTGTCCACGGTGTTCTGTGGGCTGGCTGAGTGTGTCGAGTTGAAAGCAAGCATCGTCACAACATACGTGTCGATAGCGTCCCCGTCACAGTGCTTTCAGCTTGCAAATCTCAGTTTCAGCGTTGAGAAACTGCTTGCACGTGCGCTGCCGACGTTGCGCGCAACCCTCTCGAGTATTCATGACGTTGTGCACGTGAACCGACTTGTGCTCGAGTCCTTTGGTGGCATCGATGTACTGGCGTCACTTTTCAACGGAAAGCAATATCCCTTGCACCCACTTCTGCGCGTATTGCTGTACATTCTCGCGTCGTACAGCGGTGCACTCCGCTTGCACTATTACGACACAAGTGCAATTGATGTGAACGCCGAAGACGAGGTAGCGACAGAGGCCGCCCTGGCCAGAGTGTACATACCAAAAGCATTGCGCTCAGCGCTGCGTGCTGTGTTTGGCGGCAAGAGCGGTGAAATGGGTCCTTCGAACATCCGCGGACGCAGCCGGAAGCAAAAGATGCAAGAGCGGGAAGACATTACGGGAAAACTGCTACTCTGGGATCTGTTCTTGCAGCTGTTCCCCTCGAGTGGAAGTAAGGGAAGTGGTGGCAAAGAGGTCTCTGCCACGCTGATCGCGTCCGCGCTAAGCTCGTACGTCGCGCGCAATGGGATGCTCACCAACTTCTTGAACTTCAGCTCTGCTTTATTGTCCCAAGAAACACAGTCTGCATCGAAGTCAACGCCATCAGAACTGCAGGACTCGTTGCTGTTCACCGTAGCAGACCTGGACAAATGCGAGGACGACAAGATCTGGAGTCTGGACAACGCGCGTGTCTTCCAGCTCGGTACTCGCGTCTTTTTCCGCACGGTAATGCGCCTTCCAGCGATGGTACGGTCCTGGTGGAACGACGATTGCTCGCGTGCGACGCGGAGCTGGGCTGCCAAGTATTTTGAAGACTACATCACCCCTTCGGTGCTTGCAGCAGAGTTGGGGCTCATTCAGAAGGCCAGCGACAACACGTCGTTTGCTGGCGAAACTTGGGACGATAAAGAAATGACCGTGAAAGGCAGTCGTGTGTCTCGCGAGATCACGACTACTTACATCAAGGACGAGTGTGCTCTGGAAATGGTCGTGCGCGTGCCACCATCGTATCCTCTGCGCTGCGTCGAGGTCGAGTGCACGAAGCGGATCGGTATCTCCGAACAGCGCTGGCGACGTTGGGTACTACAGATCATCCGCGTGACGTCCTCGCGCGATGGCTCACTGCTGGACGCAGTGCTGCTATGGAAACACAACGTGGACAAGGAGTTCGAGGGTGTCGAGCCGTGTCCGATCTGCTACTCGATCTTGAACCCCAAGAACATGGGCCTGCCGTCGCTGTCGTGCAAGACGTGCAACAACAAGTACCACAACTCGTGTTTGTACAAGTGGTTCAACCAGTCGGGCAAGAACAAGTGTCCAACCTGCCAGCAGCCATTTTGCTAGGGACGAACAAACGCAAAGCAAGTCAGTTGGATCTCCTTGACTAATGAGCTCGTGTCTTTCGAATAACTTAGTGCGAAACAGGAGGGAGTCAAGAGAGAGCAAGCAAGCGAGCGAGCGAGCAGCCAGCGCCTGTGTGGTTGTCGAGTACACGTGTCGGCGTCGAAAAGAATTGGTGGCTTCGTCGCTGCTAACACACGATGCAGCCACAGCCCGTCGACTCGACCGACTTGCCAGCAGCGTGGCTTCGTGCGGCTTCTGGAGCAAACAACCAGCAGCAACGGTCAGCGAACTAGGGCCCCACCATGCGGCGAACCTTCCGCAGCAGAGCGCGTGTACCTCGGGCCGGCGGCTGCACCGAGTGGTTTACAGAGACGTTCACGGGCGTGGGGTGCGTGTCAAAGGTCGGCACAGCAGCCCCCACCGTGTGCGCGTCTTGCAGGATCCCGCGTCCCATGCAGATGAGGCGCACAGCTTTTGCTTCGTCGGCCGGCGGTACATCTGAAGCATCGACAGGGGATGTAAATCAATGGGGAACTCGCATGAGTCACGCGGTCACGTCACGCAGTCTACCGGGCGTTTCGTGCCACGTACTTTGTGGCCAGCTGCGCATGAGCTGCGTCTTGACTTGCGCGACGGTCGCCGTCTTGGGGAAGCCGAGCTGCAGGTGCACGCCGTCCTGGTTTGCAAACAGGAACTTGAGCTGTAGCTCGTCGGCGGCGCTCGCGGCCATGGGATAATGTCCGCGGGAGTGGGTGTGGGTCGGTCGGTACACGCGGTCAGTTGGGCGGCCGCGACGATATATACTGCAGCGCGTCGGTGTTGGTCGGTGTCGATCGACACTGGCGATTGGACGAACGAGTGTCGAGGTCGACACGTGATTGGACGGCCGGCCGCGTATCGCACGCGCGCTCGAAACCGCTTTCGCTCGCGCTTTTCTCGACACCCGACGTGCAAAGTCGCGACTTTGGTCCGCTGCTGTCGATCATCGCGTGGTACCGACATTGGCGAAGGGGTTCAAAAACAAGAGACGGGGCAGAATCGTCGACACGTTGTGATCGATGGCGCCAGAGGCGACGCTGACGTCCGTAAGTGGGGCTGCGCGGTCGTCGGAAAGGCGGCAGAAGAGACGGTGTTTGGTTCGTCACACGCGTGCGCGTCTTTGCACACGATTTGGCAGAACTGATCTCTTTGCTGCAACATGTGCCGTCGATTGCATGTGTGCGTACGAGGGCGACAACTGCACTTCTGGTCCATCCGTGATGCCGACTGGTGCTGCACGTGTTCGTGCTGATTGCATCGTAAACATCATGCACTTAGACTAGATCTACCCCCGTGCGTTCTTGGGATACACGAATGTTAATGGCATTCCATTCCACCAAAGAATTACGCTGCAACGTGCTAACAATCAAACGCCATTTCGATCAGCGCCCCTTAGTTCTACGCGAGAAGCCAAGCGTTACGGTCAGCTCAAATGGTCAGGAGTCGCGCGACGTCAATTCCGTGATCTTTTACCAGAAAATGTGACGCAGCTAAACGGCTGACTAGAAAAGGCCACTGAAGATCTGTGCGGTTTCCCCAAGCGACACACGCTGTCCCCGAGCGACCCCTTCACCCGTGATGCAGACGTTAGTTTCGAGGTCAATGGAAACGTCAGCTTGATGGGATACGGACGGATACATCGACCGATTTTCTGGTAGAATTACGGCCGATGCCAGTTATGGGACGTCGAAGTGAACTGGACGAGACCGAATGACGATGAGCGCGTGACTTTCGACCATCAATGATCGCAGTGTAAACTGGCAAGCTCGCGTCAACAAGCGCACACAGCAATCATTCAGCCGCCAATGAGTTCTTGCTGTAGATACCATCCTGAAGCGGCATTTTCTTCGTCAGCATAATGGCTTATTATTACCAGCCACGAAAGCTATCGTGTCTCGAGACACTTCATTGTTGTAGGCTTTTGGTTGGAAGGCAACCGTAGTGAGATCCGGGGTTCAGGCTATGAATGACACCGAGTCGAGAGGTCGACCATTTGTAGGACGGATGCCAACGTAGTGGACCAGGTGCCCGTGTCTCAGTGTCTTGCGTATCCAGCTTATCTCGGATCACACAAGCGGTCATCAAGGACACACCAGCGCTTGGGTGATGACCTCATGGTCGAGGCGGAAATCGTGACACTTGCACCTGGGCAGTGAGTGCAGTGAGGTCAGTTCACCTGAGATCCCAGCAGCATTAGCAGCTCGTGAGAATGGAAGCAGTAGCGGCACGAACGCGTCGAAGATATTGCCAGCGTTGCTGCGTTGCCGCGAATGGGGCCTTGCAGCAGGCTATGCACCGTGAGCATACTGAATAACGAAAACAAATGCCACAACCTTAGCATAGTGCACAATAGGACTCGTATTGACCGTCTTAAGCATTCGCGACCACACTTTACGCAGTGACGTCGTCCAGACTGCAGTCCCCGTGCTCGTCATGGAGTCAGTTTTTGCGTGAAGTGCGTTTCTTGAACAGACCCGCGAGCGGAATCTCTTCCAGCTCCCGACGAGAGCACAGGTACTCCCCCAAAATGATAGTCACACCTGCTGCCACGACTTGCACGAGCCACCAGTCCCATCTCTTGGGAAACTCCTGTACCACATAGAAAAACAAACACGTCATCGAGACGTCCATTGTGTGTGTGAGCCTTTTTTCGACCCAACGTAGCAGCAGCTCGTGGACGTACCAGATAGAAACAGTGAATGAGAAAGTCGATAAAATAGAGCGTCACGCCAAAGTCCAGACACTTTTTTGCACGCTCGACAAAGAGCACGAGGCACAGGGCACTAGAAAACAAGCAGCAAAAGCAATACAAAGAGCGTGAGAGCCCCAAATAACGAAAAGAGTGAGCCCAACATAAGTCCCAACGAACTCCATTCACTGCAAAAAAAGAAGACGCAGTGGGACCCACTGACCTGACGACACTGGCAGCCACAACGGCAAAGCAGTTCTTTACTCCATCGGCGTGCGCGATCGTGTGTGTGTAGTACGCAAAGAACTGGTCCATCTTCACGTGGGTGCCGTGGCAAATGCCGAGGAACAGACCTTGAGCCACGTAGTGCGACAACTAGAGAGAGAGAGAGGCGTAACAGATATCAGAGGTCATAACAGATATTAGAGGTACGTAACAGATATTAGAGCCATCAGAAGGATGCAACACACGGTATAGGACAAACTCGATATTCAGTTTGACAGACAAAAGGGAAGAAAACAGCGAAGGGCGGAACGGCAGCGCATGACACGCACCTGCATGCACAGGATCTGCAGCAGAATGAGCTTCGGCGCCCATCGTGCAGCGGTGTAGGGCTCGGGCATTCGGCTCGACGATCTTCTGCTCCGTCTTCTGCTGCTGTGCCGTTTATGGCTACGAAATGGGCTCACCTGGTTCAGGTACGCGCGTTTGAGCAAACCTGTAGGTCGCGGCGAAAGAGCTCGAGCTGTATCGGTATACCGGTACACGTACTTGCTGCCAGAGGCGGGTGCATACTGATTAGGTAAACATCCCATCAATTTCGATATGAATTCCAGCTCCGCCTGCGTTGCTTTATCCAGGAGCAAAAGTATCGCCTCTATGGATAATATCGACTACGACCGATGCCGCACGATAGCTATTCGTTTTATCCCGATCCACTACGCACAATAATGACATCGTCCTCACCCGAGACCGACGAGCTCTTGCGGCGTCAAGAAGAGCGTCGGTACCACAGCCGCGCGCGCCCCACAGCGAGAGCAACTGCCCACGACGAACACAGTCGAGACGATGGCGGCTCGAGACGTCACGTGTGGGTACTGTTCAGCCTCATGGGCGGCCTCATCTACGGCTACAACGTCAGGTACGTCGCCTCTGTCCGCCATTGGCGACCCTTTGCCACCGACTTTGAACCATTTGACGGCTCATTTGATGCTCTCTCTCCTCTTTGCCGCGTGTCAGTCTCGCGGCCACGTTGCAGTACGTGCGCGACACTTTGGCGCTGTCGTCGACTCAGCAGGAAGCGCTGAGTGCGTCAGCGACGCTCAGTGACGCCCTGTCGATGCTCGTGGGCGGCGTTCTCGCGGACCGCTTTGGCCGCAAAGCAACGGCGATGTTCGCCTGCTCGTGCTCCATCGTTGGGGCGCTGTTGGCTGGAGTGGCCAGTGGCAGCTTTCCGTGGCTCGTGCTGTGGCGGCTGTGCTCGGGAGTAGGCAACGGCCTGTCCATCTTGCTCATCCCCATGTACATTAGCGAGTGTGTGGATGCTGCAAGTCGGGGCCTGTACCTCACGCTTTTTCAACTGGGGTGAGGAGACGGCAGAGATGTCGCAGCTGTCGTGGTGCGTTGACTGTGGGGCTGATGCTGATGTTCGTCGTCTCTTGTAGAGTGAATTCGGGGGTAGCAGTGCCGTACCTGTTCATGATTGCCGTCAGCGAGAACTGGCGAGCTTGTTTGGCATTTGGCAGCTTACCGGCGCTGTATGTGCTCTATAACTTCCACTTCCACTTCCCGGAGAGCATCAAATGGCTCCGTTGGAAGGAGAACTGGGCAAACGTGGAAGGCGGAGGGGCCAATGTTCTGGAGGACGACAAGACCATCATCGGAAGTGCCGGGACCGTACCTGCCAATGGCAAGAGCTTGACAAACGGGTGTTGCCAACACCCGAACGAGCAGGATACTGCTTCCTTGTTGGCATCGACTTTTTCGTGGTCGCCTCTGTCGCCACACCAGCACCTCGAGCTTGTGGTTGGCATTTTGTTGGCGTACGTAAACAATTGCGTCGACGCGTCTCTCTTCTACGGGCCGGAGATCATTGCCAGGTCAAGTCGTTCTTATTTGCACAGAGACGCCAACATGTTTGGCCTCCTGTGTTCGCTTGTGGCCGTCACGTCGGTGCTTTTTGCTGGTCGCTTCGTGATTGCAAGGTTTTCTCGACGGCAGGTGTATCTATTCTGCCTTGCTCTCGTCTGCGGTTGTTTCATCGTAAGCGCTGGTATCTTTGCGTCCTACTCTACCGAGGATTTCGCTCGCGACCCGGCGGCATCGAGGAGCATCATGATCGTCTTTGCCGTGCTCAATATGTTTGCTGCCGTCGGCCCGAGCACGCTCTTCGTCGTTATCTTGAGCGAGCTCTTTCAAGACAACAGCTACCGAGCGCGATACATGAGTTACTGCACTTTCGCCATGTCGCTCATCTCGTTGCTCGTCAACGGCTCCATGCTGACTTTGTTCGAGACTTTCGGTACGGCAGCCACTTTTCTTGCCTACGGGATCACGTACGTCGCGTGCTTGATTTTCTTCTGGGTCTATCTTCCAGAGACGAAGCAGCGCCAGCTTGTGTGAACACGTTCAAACAGTGGTCAGCGAGTGTCGTTAGTAAATAGACTGACCAACACTGAAAACGGAACACGTGCGCTATTTGAGACCTGGTTTCGCCTATTGTGACCGAACGGCGGGTTGTTGCCAATTGCTCTCATTCGTGCGGGCAGGCACTTTGATACCCGAGTTGCCAATCACACCGTCCGTAGTCGCGCCGCAGAGAGGACCGTACTGGACAACGTACTGCTCAGTGCTGTGCTGAAGCCGCATATTCTCCGTCATGAGGCCAGTCAGGTGGTCGTTGAGCGCCATTATCTTGTCTTCTTTCTTTTGTAACGCGACGAGCAGATCTTTCATACGCCGCGGTCCGGTAGAAGCACGGCTACTTTGGAATTGTGTCGTCTCGCGATTCCGAAGAGCTTGAATCTGCAAATCCTTGTCCAAGACTTGACCGGCAAGCTTATCGACTTCCTTCGCTAGCGCCTTTACGTCACCCTTAGCAGAGCGTCCTTGCTTGAGTTTCGTGTTCATTTCCTGTAGTTCGCACACGCGGTGCTTGAGCTTAGCACACTTGTCTTTCCATTCACCGATCTCAAAGGGTTTAGCACTTGCGTTGACGGACGGGTCCGACAGCGCTTTTCCACGCAGCTGCTTGTTTTCCAGCTTCAGCTTCGAAACCTCCCTATTCATGGTCGCCATCTGCTCATGCAGCACTTTGTCCTGCTGCTGCTTTTCTTCGCGCTTCTTCAACTCGTTGTCGCGAAGCCGTAACAACTTCTCCACCTCGTCCAGCCGCATCTTGAGCTCGGTGATCCGCTTGTCTTTGCGATGGATGAGTGCGGTCTGGTAGGTCTCGCGATCTTGGTAGCTATGAAGACGTGCTGCTATTTCCATGATACCGCGGTGAAAAGCACTATCGTCAATAGAGTCCCCATCAACGTTCGTCCCTTGCACGTTGACTTCGATATGAAGACGTTCCATCTCGCGACGAAATCGGTCGACTAGGGCCGACCGTGCGTCTTCCATCTTAGCGATTTGTGATGTCAGCTTCTGCTCTCGTTTCACCGCTTGCTTGTAAGTTTCTTCCACTCTGCTCATCGCTGTTTCGCGAGCAGTGGCATCAACTTCAGACGTGTGTTTCGAAGATAGCTTTGCCTGGGCAATCCGCTTCAGTCTCTCCTGGAATTTCGCGTTTCGTTGCTTTAGCAAAGAAACCTCATCTTCTTTATCACGCAACTTGTCCTGGAAACGACGCTTCAGTTCATCGATATCCTTCTGTGTCTGCTGCATCTCTTCTTTCTTCGCAGCCAGCTCAGATTCATACTGACGCGTCTCAATCTCTTGTGCTACGAGCTCATCTTGCAACCCTTCTAGCTTCAGCGTAAGCTGTTCAGATTTGTCGAGATGGGCTCGCGCGTTATCCATCTCAGCCATGTTATCACGAATTTCTTCGTGCAGCTGTGTGATCCTTTCTTCTAGCCGGTCAATTTCCTGATGCAAATGATCGATCTCCGCCGCTTTTGCATTCGAACCAGCGGTGAGAGCAGCACTTTCAGCGGCCAATTTGTCGTAACGTACTTGCAGCGATCGATGTTCGCGTTCTTTCTGTAGAGTCTCGTGCATGGCGCTCTGTTCCCTTCCTGCTACAGACTGCTTGCTGATTTCCAACTCTTTCTCCAGCTGCTTCACTAATGCTTTGTACTCCTTGACTTGCTTCATCAACGCTTTGTGCTCCTTGACTTGCGTCTGGCTTCCGTCAGCTGCAATAGACCCATCTACGTCGGGTGCGCGCTGAGAGTGTTTCAGTTGCGTTTCCAGCTCTTCCACGCGTGCTCGGAGCTTGTCGTCAGCATGTTGCTCACTTGCTCGGAGCTTGCGCTGAAGAGAAGCCACTTCTGCTTTCAACTCGTTTACTCGATCCCGCAGTTCCTTGTTGACCTGAGACTCATTAGAGTGCTTGCGTCGATCATGGCGGGAGCACTCGAACAAATGCTGTGATGTTGCCTTCTCTTCATCCAGCTTGTACCGCAACTCGCCAACTTCTTCCTGCATACCGGCCAGCTCTGCCACTTTCGCCTTCATTTTCGCCTTCATTTGATCGTGTGCTGCCTTCAATTCTTCATGCGCAGCTTTGAGATCCTCAAGCTCGTTCGTTGCACTACGCAGAGTCCACTTTTCTGACTCGTGGGCTGCAATCGTCTCTTGCATATCATCAAGAGCGCGGTCCTGCTCCTCGCGTTCACGCAGCAGTTGCGAAAGTTGTGCGTCTTGCTTCTCCAACTCAGCAGCGTGACTCGACAATTGTTGCTGAAGCGTCGCAATCTCTTCTTTAAGCTTGACCCGGTCGTCGCCCGAGCGTTGCCGTTCCGATTCCAGTTTTGCGTCCAAACGTGTTTGCAAACGAATCGCCTTCTCCCTTTCATTTTGGACCTGTTGATCCATCTCATGTGAAAATCGTTCTAGCTTTTGAAGAAGACCCTCTTCCGCCTCCGGCTGACCTCCAACGTTAGAACACGGTAGGCGATCTTCCAGCTCGTGTCTCTCGTTATAAAGGGACTCTAGCTGGACAGTCAAGTCATCGTTTGCCATTTGTAAGCTCTCATGCTCGTACTGCTCGGCTCGAAGCTTCTCTTCCAACGATTCGACTGTTTCCTGCAAATGCCGCAGTTGTTGGTGACCTTCGTTCATCTGCGTATCACGACGTACAAGTTGGGCCGTCAACGTTTGCAACTGAGTTCGCCCATCCTCCGTGACCACAGCTGCCGAATGTTTGTGCGACTCAATCTGTTCAGTCGCCTGTCGCATCACTTCTTGAATCTGAAGCTCGAGGTCGCATTTGCTGTTTTCGAGTAGCTGCACCGATGTCTTCCACCGTTCGATCTCATTGATGGCCATTGTAACTTCAGCTTCTAGCGCTGACTTCTGTGCACTCAGTGTCATCATGTCACGGTTCATCGCTTCCTTCTCCTCGCATAGCACGCGAACCGTACTTGCGTGAGCAGCCTCTTGCTCAATGGAGTGGTTATGTAACTGCTGGGCTTCATTGAATCTTGCATCGGCCTCTACCCGAATCGCTTCAATTTGTTTTCGCAGTTCCCGATTCAGGTCTTCTAGGCGTGCGCGCTCGTTCTGAAGAAGCTCCACTTCGTTTGTGTGTTCACGACCAGGAGATAGAAAGTGCTCAATCTGAGCGCGTAGCTCTGCGTTATCCTTGTCTCGCGACCCCATCTCGTGAAGCTGATGCTCATACTCACGCTTTAGCGCATCATGCTCACGAGTAACGCCGTGCAACTGGCGCTGAAGCGTTTCACACTCCGAGTGCCATTTGTCAACCTCTCTTCTGTCAGCTAGCGACTGGTCACTGCACACTTTTAGTTGCTTCGCTGTTTCATCCAGTTCCGCGCGCAGCTGCTCATTCTCGTGTGTCAAAGTGTTGAACTGTCCTTCCACCTGGGAGACAAATTCATTGTACTGGTGCTCAAAGTCAGCTGACTGCGCCTTCATGGCTTCTTCGTGCGCGGCATCCTTGGCGGCCAAATCGTTGGACATACTCTCAATCCGGTCATTTGCTTGTGCTACTTCTTCCATAAGCTGGTGTATTCTTTGCGTATCCAAGCTATGGCACTGTTTTTGCTGGTCTGCTTCTTGCGATGATGCCATTAGACGACCGATCTCAGTACTCTTGCGTTGATTGATGTCTTTCAAGCTCTCAATTTCAGCTCGCAATTCAGCATTCTCCTCCTTTACTTTGCTGAGCGTACGTCGCAGCTCTTCTTCAAGTCGGGACTTTTCACCCATCAACTGCTGTTCACGTTGGTTCATTGCGGACATTGCCTGCGCTTCGATCTGCGCTTGCATTTCTCCTGCCTCCTTTTTGAGCTTCAGGAATCGGGCAGATTCCTGTTCGAGTGCTTGATTGAGCCTTTGTCGCTCCGTTTCAGCTTCACGCAGACATCTGTGCTGTTCAGCAAGATGCTTCTCGTGCTCATGCGCCATGTGTTCCATGTGCTCCTGCAGTTTGCGGTTTTCGCCCATGACATGCTCGAGATTTCCCTCCTGCTGTCCCATATCCTGTCTGCTATGTTTTAGTGCGTTCTCCAGCTCTTGTACTTGACGATCTTTCTCCTCGTACTTCGTTTGCCATGCTGTAACATGCTGTTCAAGCTCCGCATATTTGCTCACTGCAGACTTGCAGTGCTCGCGCAGTTCATTCATCTCCTGCTCAAGGCAGTTCATCTTGTCGGCCTGGTGGACCTCTTGCTGCTTCAGTGTTGTGTTCTCTTGCAAAATCAACGAGCTATCACGCTCCACTCGCTCCAGCTGCGAGCGCAGCGTATCATTGCTGTTTTGTAACGTCTCAAGAGACACATCCCGCTCTTTCAGCATTGCCTCCATACCCGATCCCGCTTGCCGCAACGTTTCCACCTCCGCGTGCAGCTGCTGGATCTGATATGTGCCTTGTTTCTTCAGCGACTCGACTTCTTGGGCAGCGAGGTGGTACTTCTCTTCCAGCTTCTGCTTCTCGACTTTATCCTCAGCAATCTGGAGCTCCTGTTTGTGAATAGTCTATCGAAAAAACAAGGCGAAAGCACGGTCTACCGTCAGCTCCACGACAAAAATAATACCACCCACCGCCTGCACGCACCTCTCCGAGCTCGCGAATGAGCTCTAGATTCTGCTGCGCCTCTTCAATAGCCAAGTCTAGCTCTTTGCCCTATGTCACACACACGGCAGTATGAGTTCCGGTACTACTCGAGCGTTCCTCGCACCATATCGCACCTTCCAGCGATCAATGTGTCTCTTCTGAGACTCGATGACCGCCCCAAGCTCTGCAAATCTCTGTATAATGACTGGCATGAGCGAATCTTCCTCTTGGCTTCCTTCCTTCTCCTGCAACACGTACGACACAAACAACGCAACACGTGTGGCTCGAAGCGGTTGCCTTCTCCTCTTTGACCCTCTCAAGATAGACCATCCGTACCAGAAAGTGCAGAAAGTCCGCGAACGAGCGCACGGCGGCTTTCACTTTACTCGGAGAGTATCGAGCAGGCGATTCCTCCATTCCTGCGGCAAGTGGGCGGCTTTGCGACGTCGACAAGCGCCGTCGAGACGGCTCGGGCGTGACGCGAACGTCAAAACGGCCGCTGTTCCTGTGCTTCTGGCGACGCGGAGGGGACAAACACACCGACACGTCCGTCTGATCGATATCTTCCATGTCGTCGCTCGTGTGCTTCGACTGTCCGTTCATCGCCACGTCCTGAGCGCTCTGCATCCTGGCGACGAGCTCGCCGCCCTGCGATCGGAACTTGGTCGCACTCGGGTTTTGGTAGATGGATTGGTTTTTGGGATATGATGTGGACCACACGATAGACCCATTTGAGCACTTGACTCAAAGATGACCAATTTCATGAACAATCAGCGCATCTCCGAGCTGCGCCGTTTTGTACAGTGGTGAAACGATTTTACGGTCGTTTTATCCTTTTTCTGGTTTAATCAGCAATGGAAAAAGACGCTTCCGCCCTCTTCAGTGGCACTGCTGGATGTGGTGAAGTCAAATCTTTTGTCCGTGACGAATGCTGCAATTATCGACCGATTCACACTCGTTCCTGGCATGCTCTATCGAATCACAATAGAATTTGGCGCGATCCACGTGAAAGACCAGCAGAGGTCCATGTTGACTGTCTGAGATTGCTTCCAAGTCCTTACAACGTCCGGTGCTGATGAATTGCAGCATATCGATTCGCCTGCGATAGAAATCGCTCACTTGCTGTTACACGCGTTGTCTTTGCAGGATACAAAGCAGGATAGTCGTAGAAACGCAAGTCGCGTCAAAAAACGGACGGTCTTATTCGAGCAGGTTAGACTGCAGCCAGTTTTTGTCCTGTCAAACACCGGCTCTGACAGCGGTAAACGGACGCGGAAGCTGCTGTCGCGTCGCAAACACTACCGGCGAACGAGAAAGGCTCACTGCAGAACGAAGAGCTACAAAACCTCCGAGACAGAGACAGGATACGACTGGAAGCAAAAGAAGCCTTGGCAGCACTACCGTCTTTGCGCGTTCAATAGTAAGACATGACACGGGCGCGAGACACGTCTAAGGTAAGACGCGACGCCTTCACGCGAATGAGGCATCTCGTCTCGTCCAACTCACGGCCACGTTGGACGAGTCGATCGTGTCAGACAACAGACTGAAATCATAGAAGCTGTTCTACGGCTTACGGAACACGGGCAAAAGTAGAAAGAGATGTAGCTGTTCTACTGCAGTTTCTACTTTGCCCGTGTTTCGGTCGTGCCCGACGCCGGGAACGCCGTAACACTGACGACAGCGCTACGTCAAGCTGACGACTGTTCCCAATACGCATTACTGCCTGCACCACAACTGTATTTGTGGCTTCTCCGAGCATACCGACCTGTGATGAGTGCATAGACAGACTGCTTACTGCAGGGAGATCCGTGGGTGATGCCGAAGACGGCAACGTCACGTCCTCAAAGAACGGCGAGACGTGAAAGTAGTGGCGACGACTGCGGTTCACCCACTCATATGCTACGCAGTCACGTACCTGATCGTAGAAGCGTCAGTGCTGTGTGCAACTACTTAGTCCGTGCCAGTGCAAATGCCGTCTGTGTTGCGACAATCGAGTCAACAAGGACACCAGCAGTGAATAGAGACGTGGTCATGATGAAGACGATCGCACCTCGCGCTGTTCCAAGAACACGCACAAGACACGTGACATCGCCACTCGTTTCCTCCGCACCTGCGACAATGTCCCGGCCGTGCAATTTGCCAACACCAGCAGCAGACGTCTCGTTGTCGCTCGCACAACCGCATGGTTCACGGTCGCAAAAGCTCGACCATGCGACAAAGTCACGTCATTGCGAGCCAGCGTTGTTTCTGCGAGCGCTCTCGGTGCATCATAATCAGCAGCACCTGTCAAGAAGAACAACAATCTCCTGCTCGCAGTAAACACCACCGCATTCGCACGCATAAACGTGCCAAAGCAGGAACAGATGATGCAGTTGTCGCGTGCCGACAACAGTCGTTACAGCCCTCGTCGCACGTGCACATCCTCATGAGCGAGTGGACCTCAGTGTAGTACTCACTGCCTTCGATGTCCTTGTGCCTCATGTGCCGCACGAGCATCTTCCAGCAGTCGCGGTAACCAAATGTCCACTGACACGCTACGAATCCGACTGACCAACCCACTACACAACGTTTGGCTCTCGCTTGGCCTGCACGATGGCGTTGGCATCGGCCACTGCCTGCTTTTGGACCTGTCACGTTTCGCAAGCAGCGGGGCATCGCCTCGTGAGCCGTCAAGCGAAGTTTGTACTCTCACACGGCCAACGTCAACAGACGATCGTTGGTCCTGCTGCATAGCAGCCTCTACCTGTCAATGTCAGTGCTGATCACTCACATCCGCTGCCTCTCGTCCACGATACCCCTCCAAGTCTCCCTTTGAGCCTCCTTCCTGACAATATGTGCTCGTGTCTAGCAGTAGGCGTACGCACAGCCTTGTCAATAGTTCCGTCCCCTTGTCGTGTAACCTCCTGAGGCACTGCAATGAAGCAGGTGCGGCTACAGTCTTATGTGCAGCAACCGCTTCATGAGCGTAGTAGATCCTCTCGTAGGTTTCGCGCAATCAGCTCGTGTCGCACTGGCTCGTCTGCTGCGTCACAACAAGCAAAGCCGAAAGGTGATGCGTTCTGACCGATCAGTCAGTCACGTGCAGAAAGGACTGCGTGCTATTCGACACGGAACGCACGCGGGCACTCGAAGAAACATGTCGCACGCGCCCGTTTTGTCCGCCTCTGGTGATTGAGATACAGCGATAAAGAGAGGCAGAAACGTCTGCCTCTCTCTCGATACGGCGAATCGATGGACTTGTGTGGGGGCAAGACGACCGAAGCAGCATCCACAAGACAGCACCTTTTGTCCCCGCACCGACGGCGTCACTCGTTCGTACAGAAAGCGTCGCCGTCTGCTACGCGACACATGCAAAAAGAAAAGCTGTAGCTGATGAGAGACGATGGACGTTCCGCTCGGCGCTACCGGTTCGGGACGAAATGGGTACATTCACACCACGCGACGCGCGACGGTAAAGATCGATCCCACCAGATGCTGTCCGTGCAAAGCCGGGCGTTCGTTTCGACGGAGTGGTACACCACACTAATGTCGACGCAACAACAACAACAACGACAACGACAACAACGACAGCGACATAGCGCGAACTGGCGAACTGGCGCTCTGACGGACTGTCGGTCCCTCCACCATACGGAGCGCCGGTCGACGGACGGCCTCGTCCGACACGAGAGCACCAATCACTTCATTTCGTCGTCCACCCGCCGCCGCCTCCTCACGTGGGGTCAAGCGCTTCGTGCGGAGGAGTTCCAGTGACTGGGCATCATGTACGTTGGCTCGACAGCTCTGTGGCGGTGGCGCTGTAGCTGTCGTCGTCGTTGGTCTGGAGGTCTATTGTGGGCACTAACGCTTGGCTCGGTGCATCACATACAGGGTGACGTACAAGATGGATGGGAGTACGACGTACTGCTACTTCATGTCGGAGAAGTACTCGCTCAAGCAGCCGCTCGAGGACAGCGTACTGGTGCAGGACTCGGGCAGCGCGTGCCCCATCACAGTTCGGGTGGACATTGCCAACAAACTGGAGAAGAACGCGCGCATACCTCTGCGGTACACTGCTACGCTGGACACGTCGTCGATCAACCCGACGTTTGACTTTCCCGAGCCCATTACGAAGGTAACTGTGCCCGACTATCTCATCGGTGGCAACAACACGTCGGACGCCTTGAGGAGCAGCTCCGACGCATTTGACATTGCGGTCGCGAACGTGGTCATGTGTGACTGGCGTGCATGTGACCTCTTTATGAAGAACAGCGAGAGCTCGAGCCACTACTCGACGACGAACAACCCGAACAACTTTGACGACAACGTCGCTGTGTTTGGGTCCCAGGAGCTCGTCGTCCCCAAGGACGGCAAGTACACAGGTTACGTTCACCTCGTGGTCAGCGTCGCGGGCGAGTCGCGCGCCGACTTTATTACGTTCTTCCCCGTGCAGGTTGGGGACGTTGCTGGCACAACGCCCAACAATATCGACACGGACGGCACGACGACGTATTGCTGGACTGCTAAGGATGTGTCGGTATTCGATCCCAGCGTCTCGGGCGACCTCACCATTCGTACGGGCAACTACTGTCCTGGCACCATGTCGATGTCGCTCTCGTCTACCGAAGTGCACGTCGGGGAAACGGTCGATATCACTTGGATGCTGGACTTGGCCCACTCGTCCGTCGATGACTCGACCCTTATTGCCGAGGTCTCGAAGACGGACGCGATCAGGAACCCGCGAACAGGCGTCTACTCGGTCGTGCCCGTGTCCGTCTTTGGTGGCTGCCAGCGAAGTTTGGCCAATGCCAACTGCTCTACGTACTCGGGCGACGAGTCGTCCACTTTTACCATTGCCGAATATGGTGACATGAACCTCACGAGCGGTGCCATCAGCTACTCCACGAAGTACACGTTCGACACGCCGGGCCAGTTCACAATGTTTGGCCGCGTTGCCTTAGTGACTGTAGACGGCGAGCGGATCGACATGGCCATCTACTCGAGCACGACCGTGTCTGTAGACGGTGGGAGCGGCGGAAGCCATGTGTTCCTCTACATTGGCATTGGCATTGGGGCTGCCATCCTGCTGGCTGGTTTGCTGTTCTGCTACGTGAAGAAACGTCACGACAATGTGAAGATGAAGAAGGCTCCGTGCCGCCAGCGTCCAAGCGAGATGGGCCAAGCGAGCGATTACACCTTGGCATCTTCGAACTTCTTGTCACACAGGACACCCGCGCAGCAGCTACAGGGATTGAGCTTGAGCGGTAGCCACGGCGTCCGAAGCAGCAACACTACGCCGTCGTACCTTGCGATCAATGCTGAGAAGACGAGCATGTTTGACAGGACAATAGGTGCCGAGCCCGATCAGATGGCTGCGTCGATGCAAAGCACCGAGTCGTTCTCGCTGAACCCGTACGACCGTGCGAGCTTTGCAGGGTTAGACGATGACTATGAAGACTCGCCGCCTTCCGAAGGTGGCAAACTCTCGATGCAGTCTGCGTTCGACAACGAGTCGGAGTGGGAGTATGATACTCAAGAGGCACTTGGTGTGGATAACGGCCAAGACTTTGGTGGCTTTGGAATGGACGTTGGCACGAGTCTGCCGACTTCGGGGGCTTACGAGGTGGGTCAGAGCATGCCCATCATGGAAGACGGTGACCTCGGTCGCCACTTTGCCGACGACCCTCAGGAGCTGTTGAAATCGACCAGCGGTCTCTGTAGCACGACTAGTTCAGGTTGGACTGTGAATCATGAAGCACAGTGAGCTGCATGCGAGCTGTGCGGGTTCGTTGTAGCGAAGACGATGACGTTTATTTGCACTGCACACGGGTGCTTGTTGTCGTGTAATGATGTTGTAATACTTTGCTGGTCGTGGAACTTAGAGCTCCTCGGTGGTAGCATCGTGGGTCAACGAAGGAGCCGAGTCGCGGCCAGGTAGCGACATGATTTGCATTCTCCATTCTTCCAACGCAGAAATTGAGAAGCTACGTGCACGCGCGTACCGATTTTTACCTGGTCCACGTGGTCAGCCATTATCTTCCTGCGCTTGCTTTGCATTTTCCTGGCACGCTATGTACAGTAGCACGCGGCCTTGACAGTCCACCCATCGCGTCTGCTTGTTAGACAGCAATGTGTGCGTGGTCATCTGACCCGTGCATTGCAGGCGGGCTTGCCACTTCATCGTCGGCTTCTGCAATGGCGCCGTACGCATTAGACTGGGTTGTCGACAGCAGCACCGCTCGATCGGTGGCCGACATTGACGACGGCGCAGCGTACTGAGGCGGGCGTTCCTTTGACGAGTACGACGATGACACGGACCCATGTCGCGCACGGCCGCGGCTTTCGGTGTCAACGTCCACTGAGAGAAGCGACGACAGCGATGCCATGCGGTCGTGTTCCTTGAACAAGTCTTCGTGGCCAACCGATCGAAAATGAGCTTGCAACATCACCTTGAGCTCGTCTTGGATGCACAAGATGCGTGCTTCGAGATCCACAGCGTTTGGGTCGGCACCAAAGGGGCATTCAATCGACGAAGCCACATCGTCCAGTGCCATCAGCAGCACTGCTGCGATACCCACATACAGAGATGCCAGCAAGCCCGTTACGGGTGCGAGCACTGCGCCCAGGAAGAGCAAGTACCCGACGTACACCACATGCAAACACTGGGCCAAGTTGAATGCAATGGGTACGTTGCACAGAGTGAAGATCTCCGTGTACACGTGCGCCAGCGTCGAGACCAGACGATGGAGCGCCATCGCCTGATCGGCCGTCACGTAGCTCTTCCTCCGCGCGCGGTTGAGCGTCCGTCGGAGCCAGAGCTCGACGATCGCGGCCCGCATCTTGTTGGCCGAGCCCACGGCATTGCGCTCGCGGTTCCACGTGGCCTCGCCCAGGCTCGAGACGTCCAGCGTAGCGAACGCGTCGGCCTCGGCGACTGTCAGCAGCGCGCGCACTTCGGCCGACGCGTCGCACCGGTTGCAGTCGTGGAACAGCAGCGCCACGTACAGCAACAAAAACCGCTTGACGTCGCGGAGGAACTGGCACTTGAAGCGGCTCTGGACGTGGTCCGCGGCTGCGCTTTTGCGGGACAAGTGCACGAACGCGCAGCTCGTGGCCATGAGCGTGCGCACGGCATCGGCTAGCGCACCGACGGACGCTACGCCCTTTTGCCAGCGACGCAGCGCATCGAACACGCGCAGACTGACGAGCACTGCGAGGAATGTCGTGGCGCAGAGCAGCAGGTGCTGGTCGAGCGCCGCGCGTGCAGGCGCGAGCGGCGCGGGGCGCTGCACCTGGTACAGCGTCAGGGCCGAAGAGAGGGCGACGACGACCGCTGCGCGGCTCAGCGTGGACGACGTGGCGAGCGACGAGCCGTTCGCGTGCAGCAAGAGGCGCCACCAGCGGCGGTCGCTGTAGTAGATCATGTTGCGTGACGCGGGGTGGGGGAACTGGGATACAGCATACCTGGCTCGCGTGTATGCTCAAGGAGAGGTTGTGATAGTCGTTGCGGCCAAGAGCAATGCACCAGTGTCTGCAGTGCCGCCGATCGCTCGAGAGCGAGCTGCTTAGCGCGCCAGGTACGAGTGCAGTCGCTGTTGAGTGGCGTGATATGGGATGCAAAGATGCGCAGCTGTCCGCTGATGTGTGTTGAACGGTGTGGCGTGCAGTATTGGGCGAGTCGTACGTGCTTCTTCCGACGGCGAGCGCGTCGCAGAGCATGTTGCTGCTGCAGAAGCTGCCTGCGAGTGCGGGACGGCCGCCAGAGATGGACGAGTCGGGTGTGTTTGGCGATGATCTGTACGCGAGTGCGCGCTACAATCTCTCGCTACAGCAGCAGCACGAAGAGGAGCAGAGGAAGCAACAGGCGCAGCGTCGTCAGAAACTGCAGCAGCGACAGCGACGTCGCGAGCAAAAGCTACGAGATGGCTACACTTTTGACGCTGCTGCTACTGCTTGTGGTGATGGGGGTACTGGACATTACTGTGCGCCTCAAGTGGGTCGCACACGTCATGATCGAGAAAGAAGTGATTTAGCAATGGACGACAGTTTAGTGGCAGTGCCGACGTACGCAGATCTCAGCCATCACGTCCGCCTGCTCACGATGCAACAGGCTCATTGGTGAGTCTTGTCGCTTGTCGTGACGTGTGCATGTGGCGGTCTTGTCATGGGTATTGTGCTGAGGTCTCTACTGGATGGGGTGATGCTGCAGCGCGGGGCTGCCTGTGACGACCCCATTGTGCAAGGAGTGCGTGGACGGCATGGTCACGATCATTGACGGGTGTGATCGTTTTCTAGACTTTCGTGACAACGCGTGTGGTGGCAATCTAATAGTTACTGCTGTTGTAGACGCGCTGAACGGGCTCGGTATGAAAAGCGCTGCTTTGTGGGGTTCCTGCATAAGACAACGAGCTCGAGCGTTCACAACGAAGATATTGAGCGCATTGATGACAAGATCCGCTTTGTACGTGCATGAAGCTAGTGTGCTTTTTCCCACTTGATGTTCATTGTTTTTTCTGCGTGACAATGGAGCAGTATGAGAGCGAGTTGAATGCCTTGGAGGAGAATCTAAAGCTGATGGAGGAAGAGAGGGAAGATTTGGCCAAGCAAGCAGAGGTGATTGACAAAGAGGAGGAAGCTCTTGTGCGTGAAGAAGTAGACATGTGGCACCATCTTAATGAGCTGCAGCTGCAAGAAGCTGTTTATCGCGAGATGCGGGACACTGGCACGGCGCAAGTCGATGCGATGGAGCGCAATGTGGCGCAGGCCAAGCACTTGAACATCCTGACGGACATGTTTGTCATTGGCAACGATGGCACGTTTGGAACCATCAACCATTTCCGTATGGGTCACTCGGCGTCGTTTTCGGTGGAATGGAACGAGATAAATGCAGCTTTTGGTGAGTGTGCTTTGCTAATGCAGACCCTAGCGAGCATCGTTGGTCTGGAGTTTTCCGAGTACGTCTGACGATCCCAATGCTACAATCGGGTTGAGTCTTGCTGCGTTTGCTGACAACTGACGAATGCTGTCTCGTGTTGTAGCTTTAAGATCGTGCCGCTAGGGAGCTACTCGAAAATGATCCGAACGAGTAATTTCCGCATGGAGTACTGCCTGTAAGTTATGTGTTGCGGAGACGTGTCATCGCTGAGACAAAATGCTGATGTTTGCACTTTCTGCGTGGTAGACACGGTTCGGACCAGCAGAACTTCGCTGAGTCTCACTTCAACTTGGGTCTAGGCGCGTGGCTCACATGTCTTGGCCAGCTCATGGCCTTTGTCCGGCTTCGAGACCCATCGATCCGATTTCCCTACAAGGTCACGAAGCGTTCCATTGGGAATTACTCCATTTTGTTTCTGAAAAACAAGCACAAGGAGTGGACCAAGGCGCTCAAGTACGCGCTGACGAACTTGAAGTGGCTGCTTATGTGGGTCTCGGCGCGTGGATACAGCATAGCCACGTCGGATGTTGCCGCTTTGACCACTGCCGCCGCTACAAGCACATCTACTCCTGTTTCTGATGCCGGCTCCGCAGTCGTACGCTCCAGTAGCGCAAAGCAGAGCGTTATAGTTACGGAGCACTTCTCGTAAACTTGTATTGCAGGTCAAAATGAATATGCACATGTGACAGAGTGTCGTCTACCGTCTGTCTACCTTCCTCCTTCTATGCCTTGAGCTACGCTACAACCACCCGAGCGGTATTGCAGTATGCTTCTGCCGTCCTCCTTCTTTGAGCTCTCGAGTAAATGTCTTGTACAACGTGGAGGTTCGGCAATGCGCTCAAGACTTGCAAGCAGTCGTCTAAATAATCTCGCAGCGGCGCGTTGTTAAGCTTAGTTCGTAGGCTCTTCTGGCTCAATCGCCTGTCGCTTTGCCTTCATCGACTCGGCATCTTGATCGTCCGATATGTTGCATTGTTCACTCGCCGCATCGACGCTCGCTTCGGCTGGCAATGGCCGCTTCTTGCCAAGTTTATCGCCCAGGTCAATGCTGAGGCCGCCCGAGTCTGCTCTCTTCTCGGCTTCCGGTTCTTCGTCCGAGTTTGTGTCATGCGCTTCGCTGAAGAAGTGGATCAGCAGTCTAGCATCTTCACATTTGGGCTGCGGTACACAAGCTGCCACGGACCGACGTAATCCATCGCTGTGCTTCGTGTTCGGCAGAATCTTGCGACCACGCACGGATACAGCAAGAGAAGACGGCAGCGGTGCCAATGAAACACGCTGGGTACCTGTACCGATCGCTCCCGTGTCAAGCGACTCCAGAAAGCGAGATTCCACGATGGCCAGCTCTTCACGAGCGAGTCGAATGGCCCGGCGGTTTGCAGGATTGTTTTCCACGGCCCGGAAGACCTGCTTACCAATTGAGCTATTGCCCTTGAGCTTCTTGGTCACGCGCATAGCTTCGCAGTTCAGGCGCTTCGCGAGGTACCAGCGCAGCGACGTACCATCTTCAACATCCAACAGCCCGCGCTTGAAAAAGTGGATGATCAGGTTTGTAAAACTCTCCTCTTCAGCAGTCCATTTTCCACTTCGCAGGCCTGGCGAACACTTGGATTTCGTAGACCGTTTCTTAGGTGCTGAGCTGGCAGCAGCAGCAAACCTCCCGGCACGAGACACAGAGGTGAGCACCGCAGCAGCTTTGTTCGCTGCACGGACACTTTGCTGCTGCTGGTCCCGCGTCTCGGTCAACGTGTCCAGCTCGTCTCGCGATTCATCCAACGACTCGTGCAGACGCAGCGTGTCGTAGAAATGGCAGTCAGCTTCCTGCAAGCTGCTTCGTCCACTGTGTGCCAAACTCGCAATGACATGTGCCACGGAAGCTCCTGCCGTCATGCCGACGCTTGGACTGGAGCTGCTCGTGTCTTTCTTGCTGGATGCAGCAGCACTGTCGACGCTCTGGGTACTGCTTACCATCGACAACATGGTCTCGAATGCAGTCTCTCGTGCTTTGCGTGACGATGTGGGCACTGACGTCTGGTGCACTAGAGGCCACGTAGAAAACGGGTTAGTCAATCAAAAGACAGACTGAGTGACTGACTGACAGAGCTCTCACGACGTCGTTGACGCCCACTGTCCCAAATGTATTCGGATGACTGCAACTCGAGCCGCTGTCCAGCAGCTCCGACGTCGTCTTGCAACAGCTCTGGCAACAACCACAATGCAAACGTCTTCGAAGGACGTGGCGTTCAAATTGAAGTTCCGCTTGGAATTCGACAGTGGCGTCCAACGCTTCAAGTAGAGCGCCGCAGAGAGAGAGAGAGAGAGTCAGCGGCGCTGGGAAACACACGTCCACCATTCAAAGGCTGAGGCATTTTCCTGCCAAAAAGAGACGTACGCTCGGGGCGTTTGCACTCGGGTTTTGTATGCAGCTGCGACACGCCGTCTTGTTCGGGCAAACTCCTAAACAGCTGCTGCCGTGGCGCGCTGCTACGACGCGACACGACGCGATTGGCCAATCAGCGGCGGTCATGTCACTTGCATGCGGCTTTGCGCTAAAAATAGAGACGTGGCTGAGCTCAGGAGGGACACCGGCGGCTTGGCCCGATGTCGGTAATAGAGCGATCGCGGGCGTACCGCGTCGTTCTCGACCAGACGCGCGGCTCGGGATGCGACGGCCGGGCCCATCAGTGCGCCAGCTGTGTGTCGGTCGGTGCGCGCTCGACCAGGCGATTCTTCTGGTTCTGGCTGGATCGGCTCGCGCAAGTTGATTGGCGGAAACTACTTTTGACGAATCCGATGCGAGAAAGGAAGTTGAAGTCGTGCGGCTCGACGAATGGCGACGCGACATTTCGCTTGCTTCAACTTGATTGCGGCCTCGTGGGGAGTGTGCGGTGCAACCCTAACGACGCTCGGGCAGACGACAAAAGCGGATTTTCTTGGTGCGTACATAAACAGGCAGGACAGCACTTCAAGCTTCGACTTGGTGTTTGTATGGCAAGCGATAAGTGGCCCCGATTGTTGCCCTGCAGCAGGTGGGTACAATGCAACGACGTGCGCAAGGGCTGCAGTGTGTCCAGCTGTGAGTATTGTGTCCCACGCCGCATGAGCTTCACGCACCTCTCCCGATTGAATCGCCCACACGACCGCACGACAAGTGGCTGTTGCTGCGATTTCGTTTGCGACTTGACGGCCAGTTCTGTTCATCTTTTGGTATTGAAAGCTGTTTGTGTCGTTGCAAGTCGACACGTGGCTACAGCAGATACACTCAATGAGCCATCATCACCTTCTTTACAAGTCCATAGCTCTAGCCGTCGCCTTGGACTCGACTGTATTTTCGATAGCAGCCCATAGCGCGTCAACTTTATGGTACGCGCTCTACTGCTACTGACGGGAGCACTTCACGGTACTGCCATCGATCCCACGTCTGCACACGAGCACGGGATGACACGCAGGCGCTTGTCCATGTGGTGAACGAGAAAGCAAAAGAAGCCGGTAAGAGAGCTTTGACGTGATCGAAGCGGACCGGTCTGGACTTTAGGCACTTGCTGGCCGCGAAAGAGTTGAAGCTGCTTGCGCTGGTCGGTGGCTCTCTCACCGCTGGCGAGCATTCAGGTCTTCCGATATGCCGCCGTACACAGACGGTGACGACAAGCGACACATTCTCCATCCATGTCCACGACGCCGAGCTCGTGGACGTCCTCGTTTCCGATTACTTGATCGGTAAGTGAATTCGCTTGCCTTGATAATGTGCACATGTGTGAGATGTAATTCGTACAACTCGTAGAAGAGATCTCTCGGCCTCGATGCACTATCCCGGTCATCTCCTGTGCCCTTTCCTCCTCTGACGGATATCACGATGTGGTGGTGATTGCATTGAGGGGGCAATTGATACATTCGGCGGTTACGTCCTTTTCAATGTACTCATTGCTAGCGACGTCATGTACGCTGTGAATGGCCCTGCAATGACCACCATGTCGCTAGAGAACCAGTCGGACACCAATCTCCCTACATTGATTGAGGTCACTACGAGCACATGGTCGACTTTGCATTCCGTTGCTACAGAAGGGCATCGAGGTCAACGGAAGTGCGGTCATTGTAACGGGGCAGCCCGTTACATGGAATTGTCACTTTAAAGAAAGTGACAATAAAGGATATGAAGTTGAATATTCTTTTAACAATATTGCCGAAGCGGTGATATTGAAGGGTCGACCAAAGAGTCTGTTCATTGGTTGATATCTTGATGATATCAACCCACCAATCGCCGCAAGACGCGCGCAATGAGTGGTGACGAGACGTCACCATACACTCAGTTATCTTAGCATAATTAAGTTAAGTCAAACAGAGAGACAGTAGTTAAAAGACTTAATTATATTAATATAACAGTTCTGCTTTTACCTTATCTACGCTTCCTCGCTTGCCTTGTTTACGTCTGTCGGGGCACCGATACCCTTGCATTAAGTTCACGCAAGGGTGTGCCCCGTTACAACGAGTGAGGAAGGATAGTGGGGCTTAGAGAGGCCGGTCTGAGCATGCGCGCCATAAAACATCTTACCACACGGAGACTCAACAATATATATCGGGTGGTCTTCCTTGTCTCTCCTCTACAGACGGAATGCCGAGGACACGCTCCACCCATCTCGAAGCGACATGTTCGACTTCTTTTGCGCACCTCTGCGCAGAGAACCTGTCCGCCGCCCAACTTAAGGTCGAGCTAAGCCTTTCGGTGTCTGTACGTAGCGTGCAGCGTATTCCAGAGACGTCGACTGGCTTGTGTGCCTTTAGATGGAGAACACGTTGCCGCATACAGTCTCGGACATGGGTGCACGCAAATTCTGGACTAAGGACATGCTGCTATGTGAGAATGCCGGGTCATTCAGGCATTCAATTCTTTCTCGGACGAAATAAAATGGAATCTTGACGGACCCGACGACTTGCAGCACAAATGGCGAGATCTGAACCAGCCCGTCCACTAGAAGAAGCGATGTCAAGCCGGAGGTGCGTTCATCACGGTTCGGACTTCTTCCAGCGCCCGTAACAAGTCGCCACTTGTTTTGCTAACAGAGAGGCAGAATTCGGATGACGACATGTGGACAGTGTCTAAATACTACTCCCGTTTTCACATCTTAACGACGGGGCAGACGTTGCCTCTCAGCAGGACGACGCAAGCATACATGTTTTACGTCGCGGCCGAATAATTTGTCAGAGAAGTGGGAAACCACGTGAGTGACTGGCCATCAACGCCACCTGATCTCAACCCATCAGGAATTTCATGGCTATTATTAGTAGGCAAGTTTACGCTAATGAAACACAGTTCAAGCGCGTTTCTGATTTAAACGCAGCGCCAACATCGACATAGAATGCAATTCCGAATACCACACTATTGTTGCTTGTTCTCTCGACGCCGTGTCGATGTATTGAGGGGGCCGAGGAAAAGAGCATGGACTTTGCTCTAAACACAGCGAATCTTTAACTGTTATTATTCATGCTTACTAGGTGTATTCTGATATGTATGATTTATATGTCGCAGTGTACGAACCATTTGCATATAGGTTAGGCTTTGCGTATTGCAATCGTTAACTCAGTCGGGTGTTTTTACACATAAATATAGACCACATATCTAAATGGCTACTGTGATTTGTATAACTAATTGATTAGTAAATAAACATGCGTGTGTACAAATACAAAATCCTGGTCGACCATTTAAGATCGTCAGAAAGAAGTAGTTGATTCACCTCACCTTCATGTACAATTTCATTTGGCACAGGATGTATAGGCCATGATGTCAATCGAATCAACCAACAATCGCTGCTTGACGCGCGCAACGGGTGGTAAATGAAATCCTGCATTGTATGTTTGTACTTTGACATAGCGTAAGTAAAATATAGAAGATTTCAAAATGAGACTTAGCAATATGAGATATGTAGTTTTTCTTTTCTTCCCTCCAGAGCAAGATTTACTTAGATTGTCGATTCCTCTACACGTAGGGTGTACATGAAGTTTTCGTAGCACATTCAATTGTACTATTCAGGTACAAGAGCTTACCAAATTATATAGCAAGAGGCGTACCCATTACATCTATTGGCATATTGTGGTCCGTTAAACGACAACGATCCTTTCGCCCAGCTTAAACGTGTTTGGATGAAGAGAAATACTCTTACTCCATGCGTCTAAAATGACGTCAAATGAGTGACACCGAATGGCATGCCGTCGAACGGATGAGCTCTTTATTTCTTATGGTCGCCATAAGTTCATTACGTACAAACTTAATGCAGAAAAAGAATTTCGAAGTGCTTCCCCAGCAAAGCTATTAAAAACAAATTGCTATAATTAAAGGCTCAACAGACAAATCTGTTCAGCCAGCATCAATTTAATGATGCTATGGACGGGTTGATGCACCTACATCGACCCAAAAGCTAGATTGACTATCTAAGTACTGTTGGGATTTAACTAGGCTATGGAGCTTTTACTAGGATGAAGACGGCTTACGGCCGGGGATGAAAACCGAAAAGTGAGTTGTATTTCTGTTGTCCCTATCTCCAAACACGAATGGCTGGTAGAAACCGGTGACTCTCAGCCACCGATTTCGTGCCCTGTCTCCACCGTTTTTTTTATCTATCACTCGGTGATTACGTCTTGTAATATACCTTTGGTAAAAACTCTGCTTCGTCATATTCAGAATGAAAACGATTGCGTGGTTGTGGGGGGCGTATCTGCGGGTGGGTCGCAGTTCTGGTGAACCACAAACATTAGGTCGTGATTATCAGTCACAATTAACTTGCACACGGCGGGACTCGAACCCGCACTCACCTGATTGGAATCCCCTTCCCAAAGGACTGAGGCAATCTGTTGCTCCGTCGTCATCGCTAACATCCCACATGATAACCCTGCCAAAGAACAATACAACTAAGCTAATATGCAATATACATCCTGCACATGTCGCCGCAACATCACTCACCAACACTCTCCCTTGATGTGCGTGCGAT